TAAATTAATAGTTTTTTCTAAAAGAGTAAGAAGGGTCAGTTTTTTGAATTTTTGATGTGGTCATCTTTGGTGTTATCACATATAACAAGGAGTTTTTTTAAGGCAGCAGAAAATAGTTTGTGAAAATCATTTGAGCCATGTCATGACAAAACCAAAATAGTGGGTTTGCTACCAGCATGGATCCAGACCAGCCCGCGCCTCCGCGCAGTCTGATCAGGATCCATGCTGTTCGCTATCAGTTTCTCTACTTGTAATAGGGTTTGTAAGCGAACAACATGGATCCTGATCAGACTGCGCGGATGCACAGGCTGGTCTGGATCTACGCTGGTCACAAACCCACTATGTTGGTTTTGTCATGGCGCGGCTCAATTTTTGTCCTACATTAGCCTCTTAACAACATCCCTGTTCATTTTGTGGTAAATGAATGACTATTAAATATCAATACAATTGCAAAATTGAATTCAAATTATACATTTTAAATTTTTTTAATTCTTTACAATTTAAGTTCAATTTTTTTTCATGCTGATGTAATGAAAGCAAATAAATAACAAGCACTTCTGGCTATACAAGTATTCCAAGTTACATGCTACTTTTCTGTATCGATTCAAAAACAAAAATATGAACTGGGAAATAGAACCTAAGTTTTTATGAACAATATTCAAATATGTTCATTAGACAGGTAGATTTTACAATATTTTTAAAAACCTTGATGCTTCGTGGTGGTAAATTGGTGTTTGTTCTCCTCTAACTTGGGTTTCGGCGGTTTGCTGGGTAGCGTATGTCCATTAGCACCAAATGTAACCTGGGGGGTTTTCGCCTCCCTTGGGACACCCATTCCTTACTGAACGATACACAGATGACTGTGGAAACAAACAAAATACTACATCTCTTTATTTCATCTAGTAAACTACAAAACCAGTACATTGTACTTTCACTTGTGGGTACACTACTCGTTAGAATACTGTTTTTGAAGCTCACTTGATGAAATAGAATTTAATCTTGTACAAAAACAATCAAATATTACATCTATATACTCTTATGCTTTAAATCATGCAAACTACAACTATATTAATATACTTTAATTTCATACTCAGTTGACAGTTCATAGTATTACTTATACTTTGTTATGAATACTAACAGACAGATAAACTAACAATATTATAAGCTTGGCAAAATAACAAAGAAAAGTTTAACTTCAATAAGTGTGGAAAATTTTGCAAGCATTATCAATAACATTTAAAATTCTGCTGCAAAATTTATCAAAGCATTTTTCAAAAATTCATCCACTTCATTCAAATGAGTCGAATAAAATTAAATTTTGAAGCATAATATTATTTTAGTCCATTAGTTCAATAAATTTAGTAATGGCACTACGAGAATGTAATATTTTATTCATCACATATCCAAAATAAGTACTGCTTACAGCAAAAATTATAATGACATCACATTAAAATATATGCACAGCTGTGCAATAACATTTTTACAAAGTCACAAAAGTTCCACTGGTATGTGATAAACTATCATTCTTACTTTATTGGCAGTCAAAATTCAATACAAATCAAGCTTTTGCCATTTCTTAAACAATTAACCAGTAGTTTTGATTATAAAAACCTATGCAACAACTATATAGCCTGGCCAACCTGCATTTCTATGCAGTCTAACAAGATTCTATCCTCCAGGCAGTTTTATTTTTATTTTATATTAAAATCCCTGTAACTTCTAATGAACTCATCTCAATTCAAAGCACTGAAAACAAGACTATTACTCCAATACATCTGAACACAGATTATATGAAATGAATAGAAATAATCATAACAAAACCTGTAAAGACCATTGTGGTACTTGCAGTTTTAGGTCCAGCTGAAAAACAAACATTCATAATAACAGCCAAAAAGGTTACTGGTAACTAAATTTCTAGAAAAATATTGTATCTTTATATCAGTTCCTTTCATGAAATTTTCATTTTCTATAAATTGATAGATTCTTTCAATTCTAGGCTTAAAGTCAGCACGTGTACAATAAAAATGCTTCATCATAAGGCATTCTTAACATAAAATATAAAGTAAAGTTAATACTTACAATGTACCATAAACATATATATAGAGCATACTGAATGAGGTGTAGGTTTAATACTAAATTTATTGAACGAGTTGAATAAAATCATATTATGCGAGCATCGGACAAGCATAATATTGTTTTATTCCACGAGTTAAATAGTTAGTATTGAATCTTCACAAACATAATACTTTTTAAATCACATATCCAAAATCATAACAGCTTACGGTCATTTTTCATTGACATGCCTATAGTGTAACGCTAACATTAGTGCGCTTTAACACTATGTTTGTATATAACGCAAATGATGTCACATCAAAGTGTTATTACACTAGTGAAATACCACTTTTTGTTAAACGGCTTTATTACACTCCTGGGCCTTGGCTTATGTGATTAAAACATATATGTCAAACATACACACATACATATAACTTATACACATATATATATATACATGTAACAGGTTTAATTCACAGAAAAACAAAATAAGCAGGGAGTAACAAGAGATTTAAACAAGCTACATATACCCAATAACTTACCTAGAACTGACAGTGTGTTGTCTGAGGCAGAAGCTGATAACTGGTAAAGGTCAGAGGTCACAGATGGCTGGATAGTGGGTTGTGGGTAATAACTCGACAACAGTACTGTCATCTCTCTGTAGAACTGACAATGATGTAACAGGGCCAGGAGGGCAGTGAGTCCCGTCAGGGAAACCTGAGATTCTGTATCCATGACAACTGGGCCTAGCCAGGTTTTGTGGTCAGACTCGGAGCTTCCGCTGGGTAAACTGTGTGATGTCAGGTTGACCAATAATAAAGCAGCCTAAAAATATTTTTAATTCATGCATCAGCTATATTGTATTTTACAAAAGTCATGAAAAATTTACATATATGAGAAAAATATCAGACCATTTAATCACTTTTTCAAACTTTAAGGCCTGTCAATAACTAATCTATTTTTAAATAAGAACACTATTTCATTTTTAAAAAAGTTTATACTAATTCTATATCAAGCAGGAATTTCACATATCTAATATTTCAAATTCTGATTATATTGAAATGTAGAACTTATGATACAGAAAACTAGAAAACTAGAAAAATATACCTAATTGGATACATTATCTTCAGTCTCTTGCAAACAAAAATTTACTTACCTGTTGACGCACCATACTGCATTCTGATTGGTCCAGCAGTATACTGAAAGCTGCCGCCCAAATGCCTCCTGGGATATGTTTACAATTTGTAGTCAGCAGCAGACGACCTTCCTCTGTTATACTCAACGTCACAGCAATCCCAAGGCCAGCACTCCTTACCTGCGGATTAAGAAAAAAGGTATAATCAACATAATAATGATTCTTTAAAGGCACATTAAACCTCAGAAATGAATACATAATTTTCTTTTCTTTGCTTTGTTTTACAGTATTTTAATTACTTAGACAAAGTTTATGGTGTTTTACAATGTTTGCATTAACTCTTAAGTTTTAGGTTGATAAAATCTACAAACTTCATAAACTTTATCTTAGAAACATAAAAATGAAGAAGGTTTACCCAAGTGGGAAAAAACCCACTACTAGTAAAACTTTCAACAGACATAAATGTGTCCTGGTATTAGAGAATATATGCTTAGAGATTATTATAGAAAACATGTTGTGCATCATAAAGAATGTATGTTCACAAAATCATGTACAGATTAAAAATTTCTACCTATCCTATTAGAGGGTCTTAGCAAAAAGTGCTGTTTTTTAGTCAAAATAAGGACCTGCGTCTTATAAGTGGTTCGTCTTATAGTTGAGCAAATATAGTAATACATGTACACTATCAAAATAATCTTACCTCAGCATCTCTGTATGCCCACAATGTAAGCATCCAGTCAAGACCAAGGTCTCCACTCGCATCATCAGCATGTCGGGAGTACAACCATTTCTTAGGCCACATCTACAAACAAATTCACCCTAATGTTTAACTTTGTATCATAATGTAGCAAAGCAAAAAAATAACAGCCATAAGGATTTAAAACTTAAGTATCTGACACATTTTTCAGTCAAAATTCTGTCAGACATTGGCACGTAATTGCATTGACTGTAAATCATAACTCAAATCAAACTAATCAACACCTAATATTATGTATCAAATACAGCATGAACATTCAGAAAACCTTTTTTTCAATGATCATAAAAAATGGCTGTTTATAAAAGTATCAAATTATTAAACAGTACCTGAAATTAAACTGGGCAATGTAGCCCCTTTAAAAACGCCAAAGGGGACGCAGAAAATAGAGTGGCTGCCTTGGTTAAAACCCTTTCCCCCTAAATGAAAATAGAAGTTCCACCCCGTTTCCAAAGTGAAAATGCTGAGACAACTTCAAGGGGACGTTTTAGAATTGACAACATAAAAGGGAAACCTTTTTTCTTGGGTTTTGTAAACCCTTCCCCGATCCAAAACCCGGCCTGAAACACAAAAATCTTCCTGTTACCTTATAGTTTATGTCCCTACAAGGGGTTTAGCACAATTGAAAGACAGCCAAATCATATATGTATATGTTCTTTACCTTGATAAGAGATCTCCAGAGTTTTCTTTAATAACAGATTTGTGATTCATACATCTGTTAAATGCTGGTAAAAATTGGTTGTTTTTTCAGCCTGTATATTAAAGTATCACCCTTGACCCCTGCCAAAATCAGTTGTTTTCTTTGCCTCAGATAAAAATGAAAATCCTGGGCCTCCATGGACAACTGGTTAAGGTTTCCAGACACTGTATGACTTGCCATCCATCAATGTGGGTTCAAATCCCACAAAGGAGTTTTATATCAAAGATTGATTATTTTATGAGAGAAATGTATGCAGCTAACTAAGGGATTGTTGACTTCACAAATCAGGTGCTCACATCTGCCCGAAAGTTTCTCTTTTCATATGCAAGATGTATTAAAGGGACACCACTGAGGTTTTCTGACATGAAGGTACTGGAAATAATTTGTCAAGCTTAATGTTCCATTTGATGACAGTCTAGACCAATAACTTGTGTGTAAAATTTTAGATCATTCGCTCACTCTGTTTTCCTGAATAATTATTTTAATTGTAAAAAAATACCAAAATTACAACGCTTTTCATTCAATTTGGAGTAAGAATAGCACAAAAACACAACTTTCAATTTATTTTTATATATTTTCTTTTTATCTTTTGTATCTCTTTCTGTTGTAAGAGCTCCAGCTGGACTCAAATTTTATGTATTTAGGCTTTTGGACCTCAGTGGAGTTCCTTTAAGAAATTTGTTTTTGATTGCCACACATACCTTGCTGTGATGTGCATGAGACACTGTAATGTTCCCTCTAGTGACGCTAGGTTATAGAAATGTGGAGCATCTGTCACATTCAGTCTCTGTATTAACTTGTAAGCTAAATCTCCCCGTAGCTGGTGAAACTTCAACCTGGTAAAGTTATTGTGTCACAATAATACATTTATAAACACAAATTTGGAAAAAAATATGCAAATATAAAGAAATATAGATTAAAGACCTGTATTACTGGAAAAATTGTCTTTTAAAATATACCAGTGGGTTACCTGGTAAGTAAGCAAATTGCATTTTATTGAATTTAAATGATATAATTTAACACACTTGTAGTCTTATACTCTTATCAAATACTAATATAAATCAAGACTCTAAGAACTTACCTGACAGTTAGCTGATATGGCAGGGAACTGTTATAAGCTGATATAAATGCAAGGAGAGACTTGTCCAGGCTTCTGTAATTAATCAAATAAAACAAGTGTCACTTAAATGTCACTCAATACAAGTATGACCATTACAAGTTTAGCAAAGTTTTAGCTTTTATTTTCTTAATTTTGTAAAGAAACTTTAGTAACATAATAATATTGTTAAAATAATCTTTAAAGTTAAGTACAATCTTATTTAATTGATGGACTATATCACCAATAATAGAGCTACACTAGTATACATATCTGACTTTACCCAGAAAATAAACTGTTGGCTGCTAAACTTTAATAGATGCACAATTAACTTTATATTCCTAAGATTTATAACAAAACATTTTAAATCAAACTTAATTATTATATAAACCATCTACAAAAATGTTTAAAGACAAGCAAATTCGTTGAATTTATATCCCCTGCCGAGTACTGCTTATTACTAACACAACAACTGGAGACATAAGGTTTTAATTATATAAATTTATCAAATTTCTTTTTTGTATTGATGGTTCCCATAGTCTTGTTGAAAACAATGCAGGAGTTGAAAAGAAATTGCAACATTGCTCTATATGCATTCTGCATAATTCATCAAGGGTCATAACTCAGTGTTGAAGGATCTGACAAGGACAAGGCAACGATATGAACATCACCTATTGGTATTGATAGTTTCCATAAAGTTTCGATTAATTTTAGCCAGTAGTTGCAAAGAAATAGCGCAGAAACAATTATTGCTCTAAATGCATACTGGGTAACAAATCAAGGGCCATTACTCTAAGTTAAAGGGTCTTACTGGAACAAGGCGATGATATGCCCATCTCCTCTTGGTATTGATGTTTCCCATAAAGTTTTGTTGAATTCCCGCTAGTAGTTGCAGAGAAGAAGCACGGAAACGATAATCACTGTATAACTAATCAAGGGTCATAACTCTGAGAGGGTCTGACCGGAACAAGGCTACGGTATGAGCATCACCAATTGGTATTGATGGTTCCCATAAGATTTCGTTTCAATCCAGCCAGTAGTTGCACAGAAATAGCGCGGAAATGATTATTGCTCTATATGCATACTGCACAACTAATCAAGAGCCATAACTAAGTGTTTGAAGGGTCTGACCAGAACAAGGCAATGTTTTGCGCATCTCCTCTTAGTATTAATGGTTCCCATAAAGTTCCGTTGAAATCTGGCCAGTACTTACAGAGAAATAGCATGGAAATGATTATTGCTCTATATGCATACTGCATAACTAATCAAGGGTGAGGGATAATAGCTAGAAATAAAACAACATCTTAACATTGTACATGTTGAAAATTTGATATGCTTTGCTTTTATGTACTAGACTTCATATACGAAATTTTAATAAATGACCACTGTATTTCCAATATTTTTCAAAACTTTGCATATTTCCTATTGAATTGATTATAAATCATAATCAAGAATTGTCTAAAGTTTAAAGTGACTTATAGACCCAATGTGGCCAAGTGTTGTAATCTGTCATAATTGTATTTTTCCTGTATAGTACATAACACAAAATTTACTATCTTACTTAAATCAAGAAAGTCCTTTATACATCTATATTTGAGAAGGTAGATTAATCTCTAACAATGCATATGCATGTCAGGTGTTTATCAAACTATAATACCATAAGTACTGCCCATAATTAGTACATTTGGATACCTTTTGATATTAACTAAAGGCTCAGATACTTCCTCAGCAGCCTCTCTTGCTGCCTGTCTATGTAGCAGACCAATCAGGGGACCTTTTGGATGATAAAGCACCTCTCCGACCCACTGTAAGATGTTATCTGGAGCATGATTGGTCAGTTTTAGAACTATGCTGATGAATCTCAGTATGTCTAACAGGAGGGACTCATCTGCTGATGATGAAGGTGTCACTTTAACAAACCTGGAAATAAATTTAAGAAATAAATTATTCTTATATACACTGTACCCTCACATTAAATTCATTATATTAAATCAAAATATATTTTAGTTTGTGTTGGAAGCTATAAGTTTATACACTCTTGAATGCATTCCTGGAATCAACAAGTATTGAACTATTAGTGTACAGTTTGTTGCTAAAGGAAATAATGACTTGCCCCTGATAGGGTTTGAACTCGTAAAATTAGCAATCCTTTAATTGTTAGGTAAATGCATTAACCACTTGGCCATGCCACCACTTTCAAGATTTGAAGAAGGAAATATAAATGTTTTTTAATAAAGGTTTCTTTTTTTATCAAACTGACTTCTGGTAACAGATTTTCAAAATTACAAGCTTAACTCTGTCTGATAGACAGTGAGTGGTTGCTGGGCAAGTGTTGAGTATGGTTTGATACAAGACCGCATTTTGTAATTGAATATCATACTTCTAAATATTTGTTGCATAATATAAGTTTAAAATCACTTAACCAGCAAATATTATTTCTTCCACAGGACAATTTTTTCATGATTTACAAAAAAAAAAAAATTACAAAAAAAACTTTTGAGACAGCCCCCAGTGAGGATCGAACTCACGACCCCTGGTTTACAAGACCAGTGCTCTAACCACTGAGCTATGGAGGCAGTTGGCCAACTGCACAGAAATGGGAGATAATATTGTAGGTATAGAGTTTTTTATTTTCTTGTTCTAAATATAGGCAGAAATGTCATGTGACCAAATATTTATTTATAGATTTCTACATGTATGTTATATAGCTATATATAGAATAATCAATAGAATGTGTATATATAAGAGTATTATGCCTATCTGTGTCATGAAGATATTTAAATCTTAATAAAATTAAAGCTGCTTGGTAAAATATGATCAAGAATCTATTAAAGATTTAAATATCATATCATAATTTATTCAACAAGTTGAAAGCTTTCTGTACATGGTTAAATTTTGGCAAAGAAAAACAAACATTTTGTGTTCAACAATAAAGAGCACAAATAAAGATCAAAATATGCTTATAGGGAATTCTTTTTTTACTCAAAAACATTTATGAAACCTGTGAAATGTATTAAAAGATGAAATAAATGAATGACTCTGAAAACTGAAAAAAAAAATCTGAAATATGTTACACCATTATCAAAGGGCATCAGTGGGCATTTTCCATCATCAAATTGTAATGTATACATTACAATTATGTAATCTTTCAAAAAATCATATACTGATTGGTTCATTTTTCAATTTTGGAACAATCCATTATCAATTTTGGGGATATCAAGATAACAATTTTATGTTGGTCAGCCAGCAGTGTAGAAGATTTATCCAGCTGCTGAACTATCTCTTGTACAGATAGCTTTTCTGTCATAAATTATACTGTGGTTCATTTCTATATTTCAGGGGCATTTGAGGCAAAGTGGTTAGGATCCAAACTTTATATCATTTGCAAAGTTGATAATTCTACTTAGGTGCCCACTAAAAGTCAAAGGTATGTGTAATGCAGTACAAAAGTACATGTAATAATAAAATGCTGTAATTTTTCTTCCTGTATATAATATATTTAGAAACTTATAAAAAGTTATTCAGATTTTTGTCAGGAAGAGTTTAGCCCCATCTTCCTATGCTGGCACAATGTAGTTAAGTAGGCAAAAGATCTTTAAAATGGGGTCAACGTTTTGTTGTGTGTTCCCCCCCCCCCCATTTTGTTTTGTCTAAAATAATCTTAATAGTGATTGGTAACTACTGCAGAAACTATATTGGACTTCAATTTCAGAAAAAATACCACTCATACAGCAGAAACATCATATGATTTTAATTACTGTAGAAACATTATTTTAATTCAAATACAGAAAGAACACTGTTCATACTGCAGAAATTACATTTGATTTCATTTACATTTTATTAACTGCAGGAACTTCATTTGATTTCAATCAATACAAAAAATAAATTTCAATTACTACAGAAACTACATTTCAATTACTACAGAAAATACATTTCAATTACTACAGAAACTACATTTCAATTACTACAGAAATACATTTCAATTACTACAGAAAATACATTTCAATTACTACAGAAACTACATTTCAATTACTACAGAAATACATTTCAATCAATACAAAAAATACATTTCAATTACTACAGAAAATACATTTCAATTACTACAGAAAATACATTTCAATCAATACAAAAAATACATTTCAATTACTACAGAAACTACATTTCAATTACTACAGAAATACATTTCAATTACTACAGAAATACATTTCAATTACTACAGAAAATACATTTCAATTACTACAGAAAATACATTTCAATTACTACAGAAAATACATTTCAATCAATACAAAAAATACATTTCAATTACTACAGAAATACATTTCAATTACTACAGAAAATACATTTCAATTACTACAGAAAATACATTTCACTAACTATGGAAATAACATTTCTATTACTGAGCAAGGAAATTACTAACCTAGCAATGGCTCCACACCAGTCTAGTGTATGGAAGATTGTTGTGACAGCTTTATCGCATCTTACCACCAGATAACTGAGTAATCGGGTCAGTGACCTTGACACGGCATGGTGTGATGTAGAGTTAGATATGTCATAGATTGCTGACTGAAGTCCCTGTTTCACATGACTGGTCACAGATACAACACGATCTGTTGGGGTTAGCTTTAACTTGGGAGAAAATCTGGAATAATGAGTAAATTATTTACACATTAAATCAAGTGACTGATTGGATAAATATAGTAATATGAGTCTGTCTAAAAAATGCAAAAACAAAACATTTTATCTATAATATGTTAATTTAACCAACAATTTAAGGCAACTGTCCTACTATAAACTTAAGCATCATTACTAAGTAGCACACAATAAAGTAGGGCCGGGAATTATATTCGAATATTCGAATATTCGAAACACTACCGAATATTCGAACATTGAAAAACGAATACGAATATTCGAAAAAAAAGGAGAAATGTTTCATTTTTTGTCATTACTTTCAAATTTCAATTCAGATCGTAAATTAAACCTTTGCCCTTTCCTTCACCAGGTGTTCAAATGTTTGTATGACGCGTGTCAACAATTATCGCCAATTAACTGTGAAAACTTTGGGGTATAGTTGATCAAAAGGGCACCCGTTTCACAGTTTGCAATTTACCTGTTGAACAGTTTATAATGTAAATTTTTCCGATTTTAATTATCTTATTTATTGTTTTCTGTGTTAAAATCTTTCCGATTAATCAATAATTGTCTTAAATTTTGTGACTAAGAATAAATTGGCACGCATTATTCGGCGCGTTATGAAAGCATATGAAGTGTCTAAATTCTGTCAGAATATATTTATTCCGGAGACATTAGACTCCGTGTGATATTTACCTCGTTATAGCTAAACTTATCTTAAGGATATTTTAAACTTTATCTAAAATTATAAATAAAAAATATTTAATACAAGTTAAGTTTCAATATCATTATGTGTCTTTGGGGATAAATGGCTACGATGATTCATATTACTGTCAGTCAAGTGTCACGTGAGTTACCTCCCGTTAATAAGACAGCGGTCGGGTTTACTGAACAAAAGGCAATCAAATTATGAATTTATTTCAAAAGTAAACATATATTTCGATTTACAATATATAAATTAAAAAAACTTCGACATAGCAATAAAGGTCTTTTTAATCGCCGATTATTCCAAGCATTTTAAACTAGTACAGTATTCGACGCAATCAATTTCGGATACGTATACGTCAAAGAGAAATATTGGAACAAATGTTGTAAAAACGAATATTCGAATATATTCGAATATGGAAAACGAATATTCGAACATCGAATTCCTTATTCGTTCCCAGCCCTACAATAAAGCAAAGCCATTAAAGGCTACAGATGGGACATTGAAACAAAGCTTCAGTAGGCGTGTCCGGTTTTTGTATCAGGTAAATCAATTCTAGTCCTGTTATCCATCAAATGATAGATAGAAATAGTTGCTTTTTGAGACAGGATTAATTGGAGTTTTATTCAATCAGAAATGATTTAAAGTTTAGCTAAACACTATAACAGTTAGCAGTCCACATGGGAACTACATGTTTATAGCTCGCCAAAGTAAATGGAAAATGTAATGAAGAAACAGTTTCTGACACCATGGGAATGATATATGAGCTGCGTCACGACAAAACCAACATAGTGCGTTTGCGACCAGCATGGATTCAGACCAACCTGTGCATCGTGATCAGGATCCATGCTGTTCGCTTACCGACCCTTTTACAAGTAAAGAATATGATAGCGAACAGCATGGATCCTGATCAGACTGCGCGGATGCCCAGGCTGGTCTGGATCCATGCTGGTCGCAAACCCATTATGTTGGTTTTATCGTGACGCGGCTCATATGTAAGTTTTATAGATGTCTACTAGATGATACCACCTACCAAAAATATCTTTGCTTTTGACTATTTTGTTTCAATCAGAATTTTAGATTTTTTTTTTCATCTGTAAAAAGTAAATGACAACAAAAGCAACACTACCGCAGGACCATTTATAACTATAGGGAAATGATTTTCACAATTTTTGTAGAGATCAACTTGACCTACATGTACATAACCAGTGTCTAAGCTGAACTTAGAACTTAAGCAGTCTCCATTAAATGGAAAAAAAAACAAAAACTTACTCTTGATTAGCATCCAGTGATTTATTCTCTGCTAATGTTTTAACCAGAGAATCCATCCCAGAATGCCATGCTGCATTCCACGTTATCCTCATCATCTCTAGAGGCTGTCCGGTCATTAGAGGATCTGGATCCGGTGGTGACGCACACCGGTTTGGACTCTTCTCAAAATGTGTGTTAGCACGGAATGGTAGTTTGTACCTGAAATTTACATTATTATCATAAATACATGAAGAGCATTTCAGTTTCATTTAGATAATTTACTTTTACTTTTACATTATGTTCCTTTAAAAGATTTAATAGAATTTACGTTTGCTTCATCAAAATATTAAAAAATTTATTATTTGTGATAATGATTATTGAGTAGGCACCAATGAATATATTTTGGCATATTTAAAATTTGTACACTAATTATAAATATAATTTAATCAGTCAAACTTAATCAAAATGTCATTCTTACCTTAGCTTGACAATGTTTGGAATAGAAAATGTAGTAGTTTTGCTTCCTCTGGAAAAAAGTAAAAATAATCATAAAAATACAGAAACATACAAGAGCACTGCATGTAATGTTAATGCTCTGTTAAAAATTCTAAGGTAAAAAGGGTCATAACTCCAAAAATATAGCTTTCAGAATTATGCCCCTTGTCAAACTAATGTTCATTGTCATGATAAGCAAGCATTCCAAGTTTCACATTGGTACCTTTAAAATTGTTTGAGTGATCGGCTACCTTAAAGGTCTTTGCATAACAACATGACATGACAATGACTACAACAACACACCACAGATTGATAATAATAGACTGAATTTTTCTTAAAAACAGACAAGCAAAAAAATGTTATCTATACAAGCCACATTGGAAACATATAAATTATTCAGAACAAATTAGAAAAAAAAGAATATTTTCACGTAAAAATATTGTTTTATTGAAAATTTAGCAATACAAGTATTCTGCTATATTTTACATGTTATCATTAGGGAAATGATACTTTCAACAATATTGGCATGTCAATTTAAAAGACCAGCTCATTTTTTTAAACCCTTCATAGCAGTGATTTTTTTTTGGTTGATTTTGACCTGAAATAAGGCCTCTTCACAATGCCAAAAACACATAAAAAATTCACAAAAATGTGTAAAAAATTCACAATTGGCAGGATTGCTTTTCAGTACCAAACAAAATAATAATGAACTGACAAATGACAATCTTGAGAATTTGATTGATATATTTGAGGGAATAAAAAGAAGAAAGCTGAAACTATGAATATAATTATTAAAATGTATGAATAAAGTGACTACAGGTGATGATTTATTCTTGTTTATTTTTTCACAATTTGACAGATTATTTCAGGGGTATGGTTGTTGCAAAAAAGTAAAATAATTTACTGCATAGCCTAATTTGTGTTATGCTGCCAACATTAAAGAGCCATGTCAGAAAGCTTGTATGTGATGTCTGTACTGTCCTGTCCTGCCTCGCCAGTGATGGCATAGCTAAAACATTTTTGCTGTTTGTATAGTAAGGGTAGAATAGATATAATGAAGACTTACCCCATGTAGAATCTAGCTTGTTCATCAAACAAGAGTAGAGTGAGAACATGAGAAACTTCATAACATGTTCTCTCATCTCTATGATGGAGAAGTGCCACTGTAATTATAAAATAAAACAGTAATAATGCAATCATTAATTATAAACTTTTTAAATGTTTAAAGTTTACACAACTACCAGATACTGCTTGAAACAGCACACATGTAAATTTTAACAACTGTGAATTGTTCGCTTTTACACACATAACTAGAATATTTGTTACTTTGTCCCATCCAATTACTACTCACTCTACCACATTACATGTTACTAAATCCCATTTCTACCTTAGCAATTAATACATAACATGTCACTCAACGACTAAATGATACTTTTTATACCATAACTTTCTATGTCTGTTAACTCTACGCAAGCAAGCTGCAACATCTTCTACCCATGCTACCAGTGCAGACCAATATCAGTAAGCACATTGATGCCATCTGATCATGGTCTGCACTGTTTGCTATTCCGATATTCCTACAAATGATAAATGGTTTTGTCCAGACTGAAAGACAGATAAGTCCATTTAAGTTAATTAACAGTGTTAAGGTTAAATTAAAAGGATATGACTTTATAAACCTCCTATAACACACTTTAATTATGTAATGGAATTGTCTTGCTGTGAAAAGTAGAAACTGTCTACTTCTAACTGAAGGAAATTTGAATTATTCTTACCTCTAAGCAGTGTATAGTACAAGCTGGCATTATGAGCCATTTTATGTCTCAGTGAGTAGTCATGGTGTATAAGATGTCTCAATACTGTCATACATCCAGGTAAATACTGTATATTGTTGTTCTGTAAAATAAAATGTACATATAATACTGCACCTTTGTAACATCGCTTTATACAGGATTTTATAATACTGCATGTTTGTAACGACGCTTTTCACTGGATTATTATGACATTTATGTAGGATTTTATAATACTGCATGTTTGTAATAACGCTTTTCATTGGATTATTATGACATTTATACAGGATTTTTTAATACTGCATGTTTGCAGTAACACTTTTCATTGGATAATTGTGATGTTTATATAGTTTTCTATAGTTTTCTAGTTGTACACAGTCAATTTATGAAGAAATCTCACTTTCTTTGTCTAAATGTTCAATGTACTTCAATTATGACTATGGCTTTGAAAACTCATCATCCGATAGCATGTAAATATTTTAAAATGATCAACATTTTTACCTATATGTGATAACTTATATCATAACATATTTCTAAAGCTTTTAAAATCATAACGATGGCAAAAAGTAAAACACATGAAAGATTTCAAATTGCATTATTTGACTACAATTCCATACAGGTACAAAATTAGTGATTATTACTAGGAAGTATTGTTCTGATATTTTCTATGACCAGCTTTTAAACTGACATTTCCAAGAAAGAGTCAACATTTATAGGTAACCTAAGACTTACAGTATTAGAGTCACCATCTCTAAGTACACCAAGCTGAAGATGTGCCAATATCTTCTCAAATCCGCCATCTTTTTTAAATGCTGGGTGAAGAGTAGGGTCTGTTAAAATAAAAACACTTTGATAAAATTTGTTGCATATACTGCTTTCACAGATTCACATATTTTTTTACAAAAAAATCATCTTGAGTAGACCCTCAGCTTTTCTAAAGGTTAAATATGTTATTTTTAGATAAATTGTTTCGTGAAACTGTCAAATCAAAAGAATTAAGTTGGAAAATGGAATTTGCTGACGATAAAAAAACAAACAATAAGGAAACCCTTTGATACCTCTTATGATATCTACCAATTTGTTTCCTGATGATCTATTTTTAGAAACGAACGTCACTGGTGAGTTGTAAATAGCTATCTTTTCGAAGCAGCTTCCCGAAAGCTATTTATTACACACCACTGACATGATGCACTTTTCCAAGATAAAAATACTGAAATACTTAGTTTGAAACAACTAAGTTTGTTTTTCCAACAGAAAATAAAAGTTAAGGATGCTTTACAAAAGCTATAAAAAATCCAAGATGATAAAGATAATTACGTAATGATAATGATTTGAATAAAATGTTTTTACCTTGCAGTATAATAGCAAGCTGATCTACAGCCGATTTCTTCACACCAGGATCGACAGAGAGTGATGTAAATATTTCATAAACTTTCCGTAATCCATCAACCTTTAATACCAAATGATAAACAATATACAAGTTTACCAGACCTGTTCAACAAGTTTGAGGAATTTTGCAGTAACATTTTTATTTTCTAATATTTTCTCTTTATATTTACTGTTATTAAGGTATAACATATACATTGTGTAAAGATCAAAGAACATTTTAAATAAACACCCAAAATACTTTGTAATCATAGTAACACTCATGTCTTGCATGTTGCCAGGCTCCATTTATCATATTTGATATTCTTCCATTATTAATGCAAAATCATCATTTTCGGAATAGAAAAAATAAAGCAAAATAAGCAGACATTTAAGTTATGTTATGACGTAACAATGTATACATATATTCAACACTTTATCCCTTACTTTTGAAAGTATAAAAAGACATTGACATAAAATTGCTTGCACTACATCCCCTTACTTATGAATTCATTACTCATAAAAACATCTTAACACTTAACACAGTAAATGTCTAATATGGACTTGTCGGACAAAACCATTTATCATTTTTAGCGAAAATTTCAAAAAAAGTTACTGAGTGAATAGCACACACAGCACATGGCTGATCTTAGTCTGCACTGGCTGCATGGGAAGATATTTGCAGCTGCCAGCAGGCAAAAGATTAATAAACAGGAAATAAAGACACAGTATCTTCATATATACCCTTCTCTAGCAAGTACTATAGAGTGAGTGCCTTGAGCCTTTCTTATCACCTACTGCTAAATATAAGGATCATGATAGTTCTTATTTAAATTTTCTCTTATAATTTTCAACTTAATCTTGTAAACTAGTTGTTTATTCTTCTCCTTTAGCATAAATTTGATAACAGTGAGTTTTTTATTACCTGAAAGACAGATCTCCCGAGGTCTTCTACAGATCTTTGTGTATCAACAATGAAAATGTTGGATAGATTTGAGACATCAAGGTCAGAAAACACAGGCAATTTTTTACCACTGTTAGTCTCATTTGATAGATACCATGAAAGTCTCTTCAATGCCTCAGCTCTGACTCTGTAAAAACAAATATATTGCTAACATTGCTCTATGTTATATACATCTGATATATCTAGTGCTCAGCAAATCACAAAGTTGGTGATATAAGCCCACCTTTATAAACCTATTAGTGTCTGCAGCTATAACCCCTAGAATACATCCAGTATATAACCATCAGAATACATCCAGTATATAACCACTAGAATACAGCCAGTATATAACCACCATAATACTTCCAAGATATAACCACCAAAAATACATCCAGTATATAACCCCCAGAATACATCAAGTATATAACCCCCAGAATACACCCAGTATACAACCACAAGAATACATCCAGTATACAACCACCAAATACATCCAGGATATAACTGCCAGAATATATCCAGAATATAACCACAAGAATACATCCAGTATATAACCACCAAAATACATTCAGGATAAAACCACAAGAATCCCACCAGTATAGAAACACCAGAATACATCCAGTATATAACCCCCAGAACACATCTAGTATATAAACACCAGAATACATCTAGTATATAACCCCCAGAACACATCTAGTATATAAACACCAGAATACATCCAGTATATAACCCCCAGAACACATCTAGTATATAAACACCAGAATACATCTAGTATATAACCCCCAGAACACATCCAGTATATAAACACCAGAATACATCCAGTATATAACCCCCAGAACACATCCAGTATATAACCACCAGAAAACATCCTGTTTATAAACACCAGAATAGATTCCAGTATATAACCACCAGAATACATCCAGTATATAACTACCAGAATAGATTCCAGTATATAACCACCAGAATTCATCCAGTATATAACCCCCAGAATACATCCAGTATATAAACACCAGAATACATCCAGTATATAACCACCAGAATACATCCAGTATATAACCACCAGAATACATTCAGTATATAACCACCAGAACACTTCCAGTATATAACCACCAGAACACATCCAGTATATTACCATCAGAATATATCCAGTATATAACCCCCAGAATACATCCAGTATATAACCACCAGAATACATCCAGTATATAACCACCAGAATACATAAAGTATATAACCACCAGAATCCATACAGGATATAACCACCAGAATACATACAGTATATAACCACCAGAATACATACAGTATATAACCACCAGAATATATACAGTATATAACCACCAGAATACATCCAGTATATAACCACCAGAATACATCCAGTATATAACCACCAGAATATATCCAGGATAGTCAACACATCCATTCAATTTGACTGCTGCTACTAAATTTTAGTACACTATTTCTTAACCACATTAAAATACAAATGGACTTATCCATATTCAAAAACAATACAAGTCCATTATGTAAGGTCAGAATGGTAAGTGGTTATCATCCAGTAGTCATAAATTTATAAGCAAATAATTTTCAAACTTTACAGTACTCACTTTAAGTCTGAAGACAGCATACATCTTAATGTACCCCTGAATTTCTCTATGTGTGAAAGTTCATTTGGGGATTCTGATGACTTTGGTTCCAACATAGACAAAACTGTTGTCCCAATAACTGTTGTAGGTCCAGCATAGGACTGTAATTATAAACAATTTATCACACATTATGAAAAGAAAACACATTATTGTGTTAATATTCATTCATTCTATTTCGACCAATCAATGATTTATTTTCGAATTGTTAGACATGACAATTACAGATCTTTGCCATAGTGTTGCCAAGCAAATCTGTACTTCCATGCAGTCAAACATAATTTCTTATTGCTGAAAGCTCACTATTAAAATTTCAATTATGACACCCTTTGAATTACTAACAAGCAGTACAAGTCATCAATTAAAACAATCATCAGATTAAAGATTAATCATGTATCATAATGAAAGGTTTACTAACTTGTAATATAGGTAATCCTCGCATCACAGCTTGTAGGAAAGCCTGCCATAATTCTGTAGACATCAATAACTGACTCTTCAACAGGTGAGACATTATATCTGTCGCACAACTTGCTATCTAAAATCAGAACATATACTCCTTTCATATATGAGCCAACAGTGCGACCAAAAACACCTGGAACCAAAAGCGGTTAGCCTTTGCCACCAGTATATACATGTAGCAAGGCCAGTCAGCACATCTGTGCAGTCTGACCTGGCTAACTAACTTCAAATTTTCATTTTGATATCCCTAAAATTTGATAACAGAGAGTTCCAAAAATGGAAGATGAAACATTCTATTTAAGAAATAATAGTTGTTTCACACAAAATAATGTTACCCCTCACACATATTCATGAGCAAAACAAAATTTATTCCTTTATCAACGAGAACTAAAATGTAAGCTTACCTTCGCATCTTTGTCAGCCAAACCAAACACTATAACCTCATACAGTATGTCAGCATTGATGATAAATTTTACCTTCAGACATGACGTAGAGGTAGGATCTGAGGCTTTAGCTACACTCAAATGAGTCTGAAATATAACAGTCACCTTTATCGTAAAGGGAAGAAAATGTACCCATTTAATTTGCTTTGAGAATGTATCCAGGTCCATCAAATTTAAAATTATTCTAGTCATGATCACCTTCATCGTAAAGGGAATTAAATGTATCAATATTACTTGCTTTGAGAATGTGTCCAGGTCCATCGAATTGGAAATTATTCCAGTCATGATAACAGGTAAATCAAAATTAAAGAAAGTCTTTACAATAGCCAAAATATGAATTTCAAAAAATTATCATAAGAAAACTAGAATTTTTAAACTTTCAGGAATGGGTCAATGTACTTTAAGTATGGAAATATACTGCTAGTACTGAACTGGTTATGACTCAATTAAAAGTGTTTTCTTTTAATATCATGTTGCTGACTTAGAACTACTACATGAATAGTGTACTTAAATAGAAAGAAATATATTTAATAACACTTTTTTTGTAATCATTTAGTGCATTTATGTTGGACCAAATTAGCCTTCTTCCTTATCCAAAATAGAATACTCCAAGAAAACCTAATTGTATTTAACAATTTCTAATTCAATTTTCATATTCGACAGTCAATGTCACATTTGATTCAATCATAATATCCAGTTTTGCAGTAGGCGTTCATTTGTCAATGAAAAATAGTCCAAAATGGAAGATAATGAACTTCTTAGACTGACTGTTTATTTTAATGCAACTTCTATAATAGTTTTTAGCCACACTAGTTGTAGACTATTTGAGCCGCATCATGACAAAACTAACATAATGTGTTTGCGACCAGCATGGATCCAGACCAGCCTGCGCATCCACGCAGTCTGATCAGGATCCATGCTGTTCGCTTAAAAACTCTATTTCAAGTAGAGTAACTGATAGCGAACAGCATGGATCCTGATCCTGGTCTGGATCCATGCTGGTCGCAAACGCACTATGTTGATTCTGTCGTGACGCGGCTCATTTATCAACTGTATTTCAAAGATACAGGACTTAACCTGTGAATAAAGCAACTAACCTTTACTGTATTTAGGACATTTATATAGGCATGAAGTCTGATCTTGTCTATGGGATGAGACAAACATTTTAACACTAACTTCCTATACGAGTCTTGTGCAACCTCGTAATGCTGGGATTTTGAACACCTGAAAACAATGTACACAACAAAAAGCTATCAAAAAACAATAGCACTGCATGAAGTAATAATGCTCATTTGTAAAAAATCTTCATTAAAAAGGGGCACAACAAACACTATTGATTTCAGAATTATGCCCCTTGTCTAAGAAGTGCACCTTGTCAAGATAGCAAGTATTCCAAGTCTCATGTTTATAACTTTTGGAATGTTTGAAAAATGGGCTTTTAGCACAACAACGCCAATACAGCAATCATACAAGCTTGACTTTTTCTTTAAAAAAAAAAAAGACAAGCTAGTTACTGTTTTCCTTCACTGACGGAAAAACATATGTGGCTGCATACACTTCATTTAGAACAATATTGCTTCATGTATACTAATGTTCAATGACTCTACAGTCAAATTGGTATAAATATCTGTGTATAAGAAATAATTCCTCTCCTCAAGGTAATTTCTATGCGCATGGTGATCTAGGAATAAGATGTGAAAACTCCCAGTCTAAGTAACATAAACTTTGCTTAAAATTTCTCAAATTAATATTAGTCTCACTCTCTAAAATGCAAGTAAAATTCCAATGCTAAAAATCTTATTTTATCCTTAAATTTCAAACCTGATTAATTACTCACTGGGTTTCTCTAAAGGAAAGAATACTTAACCATACATGTAACTTTCTAAATCCTTGGTTTCAAAAGACAAGATCAGAAAGAAATAACTGTGATGATGAAAAAAGTTAAAATCAGTCAAGTATTATGTAACTTACACATCTGAGGAAAGTTTGATAATTTCTGTGACATAGTTCAAGTGACGATGATATGGTAGACATATAAATGCTCCCTCGCACATACTTAACGTATCCTTGGATAGCCTTGATGCCTGAAATATAATATCATAACAATATTATTCACGTCCTACTGAAATTAGTGAAATTATTTATACATCTGATACTGAAACTAGTGATATTATTTATAGATTTGCTACTGAAATCAGAGAAATTATTTATACATATGCTTCTGAAATCAGTAAAATTATTCATACATTTGCTAATGAAATCAGTGAAATTATTTGTATTTTTTGGCATATAGTCAAAGCTTTTTACTGACACAATAACCCACTGGCACAAATATTAACGAGCCGTGTCACGACAAAACCAACATAGTGTGTTTGCGACCAGCATAGATCCTGACCAGCCTTCGCATCTGCGCAGTCTGATCAGGTTCCATGCTGTTCGCTATCAGTTTCTCTACTTGTAATAGAGTTGGTAAGCGAACAGCATGGATCCTGATCAGACTGTGCGGATGCGCAGGCTGGTCTGGATCCATGCTGGTCGCAAATGCACTATGTTGGTTTTGTCGTGACGCGGCTCATTTAAAAGCGGTTTGCCCCGAAACTTTGCATCTTCCTTGACATGACTTGCAAAAGATGTACAAATAACTACTTCAGAAAAAATAAATCTATCAAGGTTTGTTTTTATCCACTTCAATACTTTCAAGTTTTCAAGAAGATATTTACACTCATGTGTTTTTCTATGTTGCAATATAAAGGTTTTAATAAGTAAAATTAAAACAAATGCTTTGCTATTTTGGTAAAAAATAAGGTAATGAAAAATTTCATGATTTGTCTTTACTTTACCTCTTCTTGACACAATGTCAAAAATTTACAAGTCTTTTGAAGTGATTGACAAATGGTTGCCGTGGAAACATAGACATTGTATCTCCCTTCATCCAGTTGTTTCATGTATCCTAGCAACAAAACTTGGAGGTCAGGAAGTGCGTTGCTAAGGCATTCATCATACACCATCATGTTTAATGCTGACAAAAGGTTCTCTGATATAATTCCTCTACTCTGAAAAATCCAAAGCAGAAATACAAGGTAATGGTCACAACATTTATTATATTTTCAAAAAAAAAAAAAATTATATATACATGTATATAGTAATTAACTACTTTAATAACTTGAAAATATGACACAAAAAATAGTTCTGTTTTACATTGCACTTACATCGTAATGGTCACCTTTAGAAAGACCTCCGGTGCCCATTGGTGCATTTTTTAAGGCACAAAAGGCACCTGAGTAGAACTTGCATGACTACAGAAGAATGCAATTTATCAAATGTCTCTTTTTGAACTTTTTAATAAAAGTAAGTGTAAAAATATACAGAGTCTCTCCATCTTATTACTGACATTATGAACCGTCATCTATCAAAATATCTGACAGTAGGGCATTAGTTGATATATGGATGAAATTACAGACTTGCTGTATTAAAGGAAACGGAAATTTTCTTCAAACAAAGATATGCCTTAATTTATCATCAAACTTTCCCCAGTATGGAACAAGATGTCAAAACTCAATTTTCTCAAGCAACTCAACCTTTGCAATTGGGACCAGTGTCTTCAGAAAGTTGCCCATGAAAACTGAAAGACCAATATATGCCAGTCTGTGTTGTACAAGGTCACTAGGTCCTTGAACTGTACTCTCTTCTATGTCATATGGCATGTTGCTATGGTGATGATACTTTAAAAGGTCAGCGAGTACATCCAAACTTTCTATAAACTTCTCACTCTGTAGAAAATAAAAGAAGAGAGTACAAATATCCTATATCTTAAATACATAATAAGAACAAAAATCACATTAGAAATAAAAGTACAAAATGTAATAACACCTATGCCACCAGTATAGTCTAGCCAGCTTATGTGTCTCTGCAGCCCAACCAAACTCTACACTCTTTGCTGCTTGATGTGTAATTAAAGCAAAACAAAACAAGAAAGATCATAAAATACACATATAACCACAGGTTTCTATTCTATGACAAAAATATTTTCATGGGTACATACATGCATAAGACTAAAACAAAAATATTTCATGTTGGATACATAAACCTACCTACCCTTTCCACCAACACACCTACCTATCTTTGTCACAATATGAAAGCTTGTGAATACAACTCAAATGAATGATTGCTCTTCATACAAATATTCAATTCAATAAAACAGTATGGACAAACCATTTAGAAGTATTTGCTTGGAAATGTAAAGTAAAAAGACATACGCAATCTCTTCCAGCCATTGAATTATCGAACCAAAGTTCAGGCGTCACTATGGCAACAATAATTTCCAACATCTGGGTCAATAAACGGAACACCTCCGTTGACAGGACTTCATCGTTGGTTTTCAACAGTGGGAGAGATTTCTCGAGGACAACAGCACAGAATTGAGGTATGGTCATCTGTATGAACTGAAGTGACTGCATGTCCTCGAAGTCCATCTGTTCATTCTCTGCCGGGTTTAAACCAACACTGGATGCACGGGAAGACCTGCACAAATAATAAATGAAATATATCAAATATACACAGCGGACAAAACTTGAACTAACAGTCACCTCTGAACTGTCGTAAATATAATCGATAGTCCTTGATAGAATATCAATTTAATTTCAATATAGCAGTATTCATTGTATAGAACAATTAACTTATGAGGGGAAAATGTGTAAGCTGCCAGTTAGTTCAGTCGGTAGAGCTATGGAATAATACTTTGAGGGTTACAGATTTGAGTTCCATTTAGGCTGCACATTTTTCTCACCCTGTGACATACATATATATGGTAATGATAACATGCCGTCATATGAAAAGAATTAACAATTTTCTCAAATATTCTGGCAAAATAAAGAAAGAATTTTACACACCCTGTAGAAGAAGCTGATGTATCGCCATCCCTACCATCACCACGGTGACGCATGTCTGTCCAGCCAATCACTGACGGCCTACCATCAGCATTATTATGAGCTGATGTACTGCTGCTGGGTGTAGAAAATGGTGTTGGCGTAGAACTAAAATCTGAAATTACAATTTCTTTATTGTTAACATGTTAATAAATTTACAGTAATAAGCACTGCTCTTTAGTTTAGTTTAAACATATTTATTTAAGCCTGAATTCGAAACAAGTTCTTTAACTTATATTAATCACTTTCGAGCCCACTTCTTAGAACCAAACAGTACTGGTGTAATATAATAAAACATGGTCTTGACCCGAGTAGGGCTCGATCCCATGATCCTTTGGTTGGGAGGCAGACACAATAACCACTAGGCCACCACTCCATTTTTTACACTACTCTTTATTATTAGCATAAAGCCAGGCCAATGGGAGTTATTCTTACTATTAAGTCAAGTGTACCATGTGACTAAAAATTTTGTACTGTTACAAAGTGACAGTACTTTTTCACAGTAAAAATCTGAAAAATAAAAACCTATAATGTCACTTTAAGTGTGCATTAAATATAAAATCTATGTTTATAAATTATGGAGAAATAAGGAAGCATACATGCTGATTCTGACCTTGATCCTAATTATTAATCCTTTATGAACATGGGGAGGGGTGTTGTGGAAATCTTCATCAGATGACCTCTAAGTACTTTCAGCAAACTAAACTTAAGGATCAAAAGTTGTTGATTTATAAAATATGACTAATATATATAGCATTTTTTTACCTTGTTTAGATGTATACAGGTTAGGATCTTGATGACAGTTGATTTTACTTCTCAAACATGAGGCATAGTCTGCCAGAGTTCTAACTGCCTGAAGTTGAGGTCTACCAAGATCCTGACTTGGGCCACTTAGCAATGATAGCAAGTTCTGAAATATACAATGTATTTCACAAATAAATTCTGTAACAATGATCGTAAAGTTGAAGCACACTAGCGGTAAGTTTAAAATATCAAACCTTTATTTTAAACATTATTTTTATGTATTTTCTCCAGCATGCCAAGAAAATAATATTATTTACTTTATATCAAAATAATGAAAAAAAATTGTATTATTTCTGTTTTAAAAGAGGTTCAAAAGCCTAAAACGAGAATTTTTTTTTAATTTTTGCATAAATAAATTGATTCGCTTAAAATAGAAATATATATAAGCACTTTAAATAGAAAAATAAACAAGAGATATCATAAAAGAAAAATATGCGCATAATTAACTAAAAGCAGATTTTTTTGTGTGATTCTTAACCCAATCGCAGGTAAAAGCCTAGCAACACTTCATTTTTGTGTCATTTTGTATTGTTATTTTACTTGGTTTGGTTTATATTTATTTAAGCTCGATTGCGAAACAAGTTCTTGCAACTTATATTAATGACTTTCTAGCCCGCTTCCTGTAACCAACCAGTACTGGTGTCATATGAAAAAACATGGTCATGACCCAATTAGGGCTCAAACCCATGATCCCTGGGTTGAGAGGCAGACACCTTAACCACTAGGCCACCGCTCCCCTTTGTTATTTTACTATCTACTTAAGTCCAAACCTTGATGATGTTAGGTCGCTGTAGAAATATTTCAGCAGGGAAGTCCTGAAACACAACATCGCTGAGAAATTCACACGTGCTCACGAGCATCGAGGCTTCCCGACTCTGTAGAGAACTAATATATACACAAGTACAAGTATATCAAATACTATAGCACATGGTTACCAGGGTTTTATTTTCTTTGTGAGGCAACAAATGTGCCAATGAAAACAAAAAGCCAATTTTTCACCTTAAATCTCTCTCATCCCCTTAAATCAAATACAAATTATCACTCTTTTTTCACTTTTTTCATCAACTTGACTGAAATTACTTCTTTCTGAGTTTGAAAAGGCCATAATTCATAAAGTCTTGAAACCTAAATAAAATCAAACTTCCAAATGATGATGATTGCTTTAAATCAGTATGTGAGAAAATTCTTTTAAAAATGTACGTAACTTACAGATAGTCAAATTATTTGATATTTTGCAATATCTATGAGTATAAGACTTTAGTGAGCACTGATGCTTGTTTTTACCTGTTAGTAGATACTATAACATGTCTATCTGTTGGTGTAAGAGGTAACCATGGAAATATTGTCATCTTAAAGCAAGCACTTCCATCTATAGAAAAAAATCATAAGATATTATAACATCCAACAAATAATGCATGTATATTACATAGTAAAAAGAAAAATAAGTAAATACAATTTAAACACTGATATTTTCAAACTGTAAAATGTGAAATATTTCAATATTCTACTGACTGTTGCAGTTAAACAACAACAGCACTATAAGAAACACTACCAGCAATAATTAAAGTTTTCCATATCTTCTGATCAGCTGTGATATACAACAGCTTGCTTTTTTTTTATTGGGTTTTATGTCACACTGACACAGTATAGGTCATATGGCGACGTTCCAGCTTTACTGGTTGAGGAAGACCTCAGGTGCCCTTACGCGCATTATTTCAGGCACAAAAGGGCACCTGAGTAGAACCACAGACGTTCCATAAGCTAGCTGGTTAGCTTCCTCACATGAAAGAATCCAAAATCCCTGTCAGAATTCGAACCCAAAGCTGTGAGGGGCAAGTGGTTTGAAGTCAACAACCTAAACCACTCGGCCACGGACACCCCTACAACAGCTTGCACACACACATAAATACACTAAACATTTTGTTAGGAATAACTTTACCTGTGGCAACTTCTACATTAATTTGTTGTTGATGTTCAAGTGGTATGTTCTGTAGGTCAGGGGCTGAACCAGGGTCACCCTCAAAGAAGCCAAGGGGCGGTTCTCTGTAATCTGGCAGTTTTTGGGCAGTTTCTGTTTGTACATATGAACTAGGGACAGCAGAGTGCTCCATGGTAAGTCTTGTGTTGACAGAGTCCACTGTAGTCTCCATACCACCTGTCATACCTTAAATATTACCAATAGTTATATATTATATAATATCTAATATGATAAAATAAAGAGAAAAATAAACATTTTTTGGGAAAATGAAAACTGTTCAATAGAATTTCTTTAAAATTGCCATGTTGTTAGAATATAACAGAAATATTTTAAGTGTCCTTAATACTGTAATATACAATGTTGGATCTTGTTTTCTTGTATTCAGCTAGCATATATCAATTAATGGGCATATATTAATTAGTAGGCTTATATTAATTATTAGGCTTATATTAATTAGTAGTGTAAATGAGGAGAACTGCAATAATTAATCATGACAAACAAACAGATTTCATTTCTATTTCAAAGGTACAATTTTCAGCATTATGTTTAAGCTAGGACTACGAGTAACACTGTCTTATTTCTTTAATAAACAATCCAATAATAAAATGCAACAAGTCCTCCTTTTCATTTAACATGCAAGTTATCCATTTAGTTTACAGATTACTATTATATGTTATGCAGGAAAGAATCCTGACAAGAACTTGCCACCTGTTAAAAGTCTCTGTTCAATAAATGCAGGGATATATACGGGAGCCATGACCTAGTCATTAAGAGTTCAAATCTCAACCAATTGATAGTGGGTTCAAGCCCTACTCAGGTCATGACCATGTTAAAGGATTTTCCTCAAGAAAACATACTAAATAAAGATTAATTTAAGTTACAAGAACTTGTTTTACAACTGAGATACAATAAATAATTTTTAACTTTTAAAGCATACCATGTAATAAATAATGTACCTGTATTGTTCTGTTTTTGATATATGCATTCCGGGGCATGATCCTGAGGTTGTACATCTGGTAATCTCATAGTATTTTCTAGAATCTGGTCAATGATTGGTTGTAAAGCTGATGTTACATCTTTACGTAGAACAGTTAAAAACTCTATACCGCCAATGTCCTGAATGACCTCTGCAGCAGACGTATGCTGAAATTTTTAAAAAAAATAAAAATCGATAAAATACACCAAGAAGAAATAATACAAATGTAGGTAAGTTTCAAATTTAAAGGGACTCCACTGAGGTTTTTTGACATGATGGGACTGAAAATATTTTTTCCAGATAATTGTACCATTTGATGTATGTTTAGACCACTAATCTTTGTGCAAAATTTCAGATCTTTCACGCACACCGTTTTTCCAGAATAATTATTTAAATTTTAAAAAACTGACCCAAACTGAAAAGCGTTTAAACGCTTTTCACTCAAATTAGGCTAAGAAAAGCATAAAAATACGATTTTCAATTTATTTCAAAGTATATTTCATAACTATCTTTGCATATATTACTGTTTAAAGTGCCCCAGCTCATTTATGTAAGAAATTCAAATGTTATGATGTTTTTAGACTTTTAAACCTCAGTGGAGTCCTTTTAATATAGGCTTTTAGCAGATTAATACAGAATTAAAAACTGACTCATGCTCAGAGAGCAAATGTACACTAAAGTAGAAAGACAAAATACATCCGTAGAATATTTTTGTCATCTCTTTATTATCTTTAGTGCTCTTTTATTATTTACCAGTTCAATACTATTCTTCGAATTTAATCTCTTCAAATAGTAAAATGAGATAAGAAATTGATTTTGACAAAAAAAATATAAAAGATATAAGTACATGTACATGTTTTATAGAAAGGTATTACATGTATATGATGAATAGTAAATAATTATATGAATAGTGCAAATTAAATAAATAAATATATCAACAAGAAATCATCAGCTACAAAACTATATAAAAACATATATTCTTTGTAAAATTAATCATAATATTGTTAATTTAATCTTTTCAATGAAAGCACTTGCATTCAAATTAAAATAAAATATTTCACACACCTCTGATAATCTAAGAAGTAAGTTGAGGACATCTGAATGCCTGGAAGCTTTAGGAAAATTGAACCATTCTAGAAGCTGAATAAATAGATGTCGTTCCTGAACAAGATCTGAATCACAAATAAGCTTGTGTTCTAACTTAGACAAAATATTCTCTAATGCTCTCACTCTTATCTCTTCAAGATGGTGACCTGGAAAAAATTTTAAAAAAATTATTATTTTTTCTTACTTGATAATGTTTTTATTTGATTAGCTGACATGTCAACCTGTGAACCACATACTTCATGCCAACAAGTTCACCTCGACAAGGATCAAAGATACCTTTAATCTTTTGCCGTAACTCTTTAACTAACATCCTAATCTCAGGCTCCTTCTATTTATAAATCGGCACAACAGAGCCTTAGTCAGCTTCAACAGAGAAGTAAAGCTGGTAACTCAGTTCAAATATATGTATTCTTTGAATATTTAAGCAATCTACATATTATACAAAACTTTTTAACACCATGCAAATGGCTGTAAGAATATATTTCATAATCTGCACTGAAGCTGAAGACAAAAGAAATGCTCTTAGAGAGACCCACTCTGTAAAACAACTGTAAAATTTCATTCTGAAAATAGTTATATCGTTAAAGATATACTTAAAAATGTTCATCTTCGAGCAAAATATTTTAATCAAAGAAATTTATTAAAACCTATGAACTTATTTTTAAATATGTCTAATTTGATTAAAAATGAATAAACTATGTATTGGAAGTCACATTCTCTATAACAGGACAAGTAACGTTGGTCTTTTCTTAAAAAAATTGCCAGTTTTTTTAATGACACAATATATATTTATATTGTGACGACCTATAGTGTGTAGAGTTTATATTATAACATATCAACTTTGTGTGAAGTCAAAACATGTTTATTTCATAACTACAAAGAGACTGTGTAGCAATTATCAATATTTTCTGATATCAAATTTGAGCATAGTACATCTTTAAATATAGCTAGCTGATATATATTGACAATATAAAGGTAGCAACAAATTGCAGCTTTATTATTATTTCAATATGGTGTAATTGCAGGGTTCAAATTTAGCACTCACAGAGATACAAAATATTGATAAAATTTAAAAATGTCTGTGTAAATTTTAAGTGGCCTGAAATCTTATCCTGCTGTCAGATAAAGAACTATGATCATGTGCACTAGACTATTCTCCCCCTTACAAGTTCCTCTCCCTGATGGTTAATAAATTTGAATGACAAAATTATATTTGTAGTTAATGTAGGGTCCCTCCAACAGCTAAGTCACAAAATGCAGTTTTTGCTGTCAAGTACATACCCAAGACATGTCACCAGTCATGCCTTTAAAGTCACAAAGTGGTGATAATTTACCTCTGTGCAATTTCCACAAACTATAAGCCAAAGAAATTAATTTTGAGATGAAAGTGTATAGGGGTCTGTCAATGAGTATACCTAAATGGACAGGGAATTTGAATAAAGAAGTAGGTGTGTTCTGATAAGGTCTGTTTCTGCCAGGCAATGGGCGAGGTCATTCTTTGTACTAGGGGCTCACATATCCTAGCACCCTTACCCCCTTTCCCTGGCTACTTTATAGGACCATTCGGGCTTAACGACATCGGGAGCTGGTCTCCAGTAATAGACAAAGTAGAGACATAGTATGATTTTCTATGTGTATTTTACGCCTATACGCACGCTATCTGGAGCTCTGCAGGTGTGTGCCCAAGTACGAGAAATAAATTAGTTGTTACACCCACTAAGCCGCAAATCTTTTGACAACGTCTGTGCCTCTTCATGACATGTACGTACCGGGCTGGGGTAGTCCTATAACAATAGACGTTTCTGTTAGTACTACGTCCACTCAAACATTGGAGTGTACTAACGGAAACGTCTTATGACTATGTTATAGGACTAGAGGGGAGGGGGGAGAGAGGAATGACCAAATTATGAACATTAAAACAACAATGCCAGACTTCCCGAAATACGTCGGTCCGACGGACATGTCCGTTAAATTTTGATCAGGTCCGACGAGTTTTTATTCCGGATCGGTCCGACTGTCCGGCTTTTATCCAAGCCGCATGTATACAAAATGGCGTCGCTAAAGGTGCCAAACCTTGGGAAAAATAAAAAATCTACGTCAGAGGAATGCGCAGAACAGTAGTAAAAAGATAAAAGGAAGGACCTGAGAAAAAATTTAATGAAAATTAGAAGCAAGACAGTGAATCGTTGGTGTATGATAGGGAGGAGATGAAAATGCGCTGAAAGGGATTCAGAGTCAACTCGTCCCCTGGTCAACTCGGCCTCTGGTCAACTCGTCACCTTTTTGGTCAACTCGTCCCTTGGACAACTCGTCCCCTGGTCAACTCGTCCCCTATATTTTATTACTATTTGTTTTTCATATATTTCATAAATTATTATAGACTGTTAAAATAATATATTATAAAATTACTGAATTGGACATATTTTGACGCTTTTTGTATGCGAATATTTGGAGTTTTATCTAATAATTAATAAGGATATATATGCATAATTCTGATTAAATTACATACAGAAAAAACAACACGAAGACGATCAATAGCAATAACATTTAATGTATAAAAACATGTTTCATATGCAATGATAAAATATCATATAGACCCTTTATTTAAGCTATAACAATCAGGGAAGAGTTACTTTCCTTACCGGATGTGACGTAAATGGGGGATAAAACTATGCAGGCCGCATAGAATGTTAGCTTATTGAAAAGTTAAATGCGTAAATACTGTTCGTTCAATTATGATTATAACATGTAAAAATTTACGCATGCATACATAAATTCAATATAAAGACAATAGAAAAAAATACAAAAACAAAGATTGAGATTAATTCTCGCTACGGAGTGAAACAGCGAAATTTCAAAGTGAATACTGCAGTATATTTATTATATCTAGATTTTCTTTAATGCCCGGATAAAAGCTAGTAACTAAATCAAATTTTAATATTTTATAAACACCCATACACACTGAAATTGCCTATTATAAATTTAAATGGCCATTTTCTAGTTTTCTGTGTTATTTTCTGTCGTTTAGAAAAAATTCCGGCGTTTTTGTGACAAACATGAAAATAAGATTGCCAATGTCTTTTAATGATAGTTTTTCAAGCTTTAATAGAACAATTACAGAATGCATTCTGTCAATACAATTTTTTTTCATTATGCCGTATAAAAATATTTCTGAGAACCAGTGAAGGATATAATATAAATATTCCGGAAAGAACGAAAAACATGTGGCATTGACTTTTGTAATTTTAGATTCGCAACAGACGATAATTAATAAGATAATTTTGATATTAAAAATCTATTCTTATGGTTATGAAAATAACGTACAACGCAAATGTGATTTTAAGAATAAATCTTATATTTATCAGGGCAACTTTTATATTGACAATTTCACAACAAACAATTATCATGTTTTTTAATTGACACGATCCTATTATAATGAGATCAATACCACCGAATAAAAATTTTTTGCACTTCTAAATTTCCCGTTAATCTGTGTATGTCTTTGTAGTTTTACATCAAAGCATAACGTCGCTTAGATAAAAATCTTAAAAATTAAAGTTAAAAAAAGCGTTATTTTATTTAAAATTTTTGATATCAAACAAATTCATTATTAAATTTTACTAAAAAAATATTTAAAAACATTGATTTTTAAAAATTGTAAAATACGAATAGATGAAAGTAGGGGAAAGAGTTGACCATATTAGGGACGAGTTGACTCTTTGAAGACGAGTTGACCAAAAGTTGGGGACGAGTTGACCAAAAAGATGACGAGTTGACCAGAGGACGAGTTGACCAGGGGACGAGTTGACCGGATTGCCTGTAAGGAATATAAATTAAAAACAAAAAGTGTCTTAGAAATACAAACACACGTTATTCTTTGATTTTGATTAATTTTATTTGGTCCGACAGATTTCGTTTTGGTCCGACAGATTTTCATGGTTTGTCCACAGGTAAACGTTGCGTGGCCATGACTTACACTATACCCCCGTTCCCCCTCTACAACCCAAAACCTTAAAAAAAAATTATGAAAAAAAAAAAAAATTTATGACTAATGAATATTATAAGGTATTTTACTCTACTTTCATTTTGCATAGAAATATCACTAGCATCTCAATTATCAGCGCATATATTCATCAATTTTTTCACCAATCTTAAAACAATCTTGGTCTCAAATCTTAGATAAATAAAATACTCTTTAAGAAAAAACAACAACTGGCACCTTCGCTGATTATACGTAGCAAGAAATATCCAAGCCCAAACTGTCAACAAATGAAATCGGAAGAGATCTGATTGCACCGTTTCGGTAAAACTCTCACGAGTAAAACACACTAAATTCACCGTGAAAGAATATTTCTTTGTATTGCGTATTTAAATATGATAAAATTAAGTTATTATTTGTAATAATTGTTCAATCAAAGCATCATATGAAACTATAACGCACCTTTTTTCCTATATGTCAAATTCTCAATCCAAAATGAAAGTAAATTGGCACAGCAGAGTTGTTTCCCTTTAAGTATTTTCATTGGTCCCAGGTTTTCCTGTGACCAATGAAAATACTCCATTTGAAAACAATCTGCAGGCCCATTTTACTTTCATTTTGGAATGAGAATTTGACATATAGGAAAAAAGGTGGGCGTTATAGTTTCATAAGATGCTTTGATTGAACAATTATTATAAATAATAACTTTAATTTTATCATAATTTAAATACGGCAATACAAAGAATATTCTTTCACGGTGAATTTAGTGTTTTTTACTCGTGAGAGTTTTACGCGAAACGGTGCAATCAGATCTCTTCCGAGTTTCATTTGTTGACAGTTTGGGCTTGATATTTCTTGCTACGTATAATCAGCGAAGGTGCCAGTGTTGTTTTCTTAAAGAGTATTTATTTATCTAAGATTTGAGACCAAGATTATTAAGATTGGTGAAAAATTGATGAATATATGCGCTGATAATTGAGATGCTAGTGATATTTCTATGCAAAATGAAAGTAGAGTAAAATACCTTTATAATATATTAGTCATAAAATTTTTTTTTTTCATAATTTTTTTTTTAGGGTTTTGGGTTGTAGAGGGGGAACGGGGGTATAGTGTAAGTCATGGCCACGCAACGTTTACCTGTGGGTTTGTCAGACCGAATGTCTGACAGTTTTTTTCAACTTTCGGGAAGTCTGCAATGCTTTATGTTGATTTTTGGAAACAGCAGACCGTACAAACAAACACAAGCTGGACATTAAATCGAGACACGGCGACTAGGTTGGTTTCACTGCCAAATCCAGCAACGTTGTTTTTTTTAATTTATGGGGAAAAATAATCATAATCTCAGTTTGTGACTTAAAATTTCCATGCCAATATAAACAAAGAAGCTCAAAACGAGGGAATTACCAAGTTTCTTAAAGAGTGAATTAAAGTCAACGTCTTGTCTTAAAACAGATGACATCACTGTTTTTATTCAGCATGCAACTAGGTTTGCATCTTTATTTTCTTGAAATGTCCAGACTTGTTTCAAAACATCCGCCATTGAAGAGTATTCGATGGACAGATAACTCTTGTTTGACAAACAATGGCTGAACACCACCAAATTTTATTGCAATTGACCAGGGGAAGTAACTGCTGCGAGGAGTTGGCCAATCTCTACGCAGTGATGTACCATTTTGGTTTGATTGAGTACACAACTAGTCCAACTAATTAGACTTGTCAAAGAGACACCGAGATAATTTTGGACGGGCGCTGTCTTTTTCCAAGTCCAACCACGAACTGCATTTTTATGCACGGACGCTTCCCAATTAGAAGTTGTTGGGAGCGAAACTAGAAAAGTTTCAAAAGAAACGGTCTACATTACCTGAAAGAGAATCGTTTTTTATGCAAGGTTCCCAAATTATCATACTTCAAAGTCGAACAGAAGTCTAAATATTCCACTTTAATTTTTTTAATCGTTGAAAATTATTGAAAGCGGCCATATTGGAAAAACGGTGTCATGGTAAAATTGTAAACACTGGTAAAATCCATGGTGTAACACAGGTATCGGCGGCAATCGATTGTATTTGCCAAGCTTTATTATACAATTTGTTTATGTTTTTTATATGAAATTATTGCAGGAATAACTCTTTTATTCACACACAATATTTCTGCATTAAAAAGAGAATGTGTAAAGGAAATTATGATAACCTTACTTAGAAATTAAATAGTTTATGATGTCCGATGTCAGATCATACTGCATTTAAGTCCGTTTAAATTGTCAAATTAGATATAATTAAGTTGGACATTTTAACATCTGTGATCATTAGGTGAAATTTCTGAACTACCTTTTTTATTTTATAACCCTGCCATGATTTCCCACATACAAAAATACAATGTAATTGTAGGTACATCTTAATGAATTATAATTATACTATACATGATGAAGCAAAGAAGAATTTCAATTTATATTAACACTCATAGTCAATTTCTAGTTTATTATCTTTAAAAGAAATTGAGGACGGTTGTGTATGGGAAGAAGTTCAAAACAACCAAAATAACTTTAAAACTCTGAAAAAAAAATCTTAAAATTTTCAAACTATATAAATGGATTTTCAGACAGTCCTCAGTAAATACAATTGTCGCACAGATTTGACGGGTTTATGATAAAAACACAGCAAGCGGAAATTTAGTGACCGTTATTTAGATGTTTGCATAGCATAACAATGTAAGACATGATGGGAGAAATGTGTTGGAACGAACTGTCGCAAAAGGCACCAAAACCTCTGATACCCATTAAAAATTCCATGTTATCTAGTTCCCGTTTGAACGGCAACCTCGAAATGTGGGTCACATTGAAAGTTCCATGATGTACCGCCGTATTAATGTACACATCTGTGGATGTTGATTAAAAATTTCAACATTATTATGTTTAAGTGATCAATTCTGTTTAAACCGGCGAAAGGGAGCACTTGAACCTACCAGAGCCGCTCTTTGGCACTCCTGTGTATTTATGTTTCTATTTTGCAGTTTTCAGGCGTTTTTGGTGGGTTTTTTTTTGGAGGGTGGATACATGAATGTGGATAAGTTTTTTTCTGTTTCTTTTACATTCTTGCTTGCTTGCCGAACCTTTGTATTGGTAATCATTATCTGTTTGTTACGGTTCGGTATACATGTATACAATATGATAAACAAGATGAACAAGGAAAGGCGGCGTTTCACATGAAGCAAACCCCCACACGACCCCAGGAACATGAACCAATGGCAAGGAGCCCAGGTGGATCCTAAATTAAAACCAGAAAGGGCGCAAGGGAGAGCACGGTCATGGGGGTCAGGCTTATCACTAAAATGTAACTGAGAAGGAAATCAAAGCAAATAAATAAATGAATGATTAATAGGACCACTAAGCTAAACGATCACAGGGGAAGGGGATAGGAAATTCGGGGAGGGGGCGAAATAAAGAAATAAACTAGGGGGAAATGGAAGATACTTACCAAGACGAAAAAACAACAAGGGACACAAACAAAAGTGCACAGCCAAAACAGTATGAAACAGGAACCACTAAGTTAACGGGCACAGGAGAAGGGGATAGGAAATTCGGGGGAGGGGGCGAAATAAAGAAATAAAACTAGGGCAAAGGGAAGAAACTTACCATAGACGAGAAAACAACAAGGGACACAAACAAAAGTGTCACCAAACAGTATGAAACAACAAGACATACACCTTATACATTTATAAGTCTCTTAATCTGTTCATTTGAAAACTCTGATCTTCTCAATGACTTTTTTTTAATATCCTCTACTTAAAATTTATTTCAATTAAAATATGTGACCCTTCCTTTATAGTTACACAGCATATGGCTGGATCACAATAAAGTTCCTTTTTAGTAAATTAATAAAGTACGTCAAGAAGACATTTAACTTTATCAATAGGTTTAATATGGTATTATATATCGGCAATCGGTGAAAAAAGAGCTCTTGAAATATTATTTGTACAAATACTGAATAATTTGAAGTGTATTTCAAATAGTTTCCTTCAATATTTTATTTTACGTTCTTAATTGTCATATAAATATGCATGTATAAAATGAAGTCAGTATTTTATCGAGAGTGACATTTGGCAGTCATTAGCACGTAAACAAGAAGGCAAACCACCAATTGATAAATGTTAAGTACATGTATTAAAATATTTAAAAAATATTAAACAATAGTACTTGTACGGAGCCTATTTTGCGACCATTGCATTTTAGGTTAAATACAATGATACTTTTCAATAGTATTTAATAATGCACACATTTATTAAAAATAATGAATAGATTTATTTCCCCCGATATTTTGTTTAATTTAATCTTCATGCGTAACCCACACTTACCTGCTAGAGACACTGGTGGCTACTACCAGCTTTCACGGAATCGATTTTTTACGATGACGTCATAACATGTCCGCCGAAGATAGAGTAGACAGTACAAATTTGAAATAAATCGCATGTATGCGTTAAGACAGGTACAATCTAATATTTTTTCTAGGAGAAGTTAGTACTAAAATTTATATTCTATTGATCTTTAGAGGTAATTGAAGTTACTTTCAGGTTTAAGCAGTAAAAATCAGTCCAAACTATCGACAGTGTTACCGGTAGATTTTCCGTGCGTAAAAATGACAGTTAAAATTAGGCGTAACGGTTTGACAGTAAGAAAAAAAAGTCTGTAAAATGGGTCAAACCGTTCACGCCAAATTAATTAGGCTAGTACACAACAGAATATTATTTGAAACAAAAAACTTAATTAGTGTATTGGATTAGTTTATTAATTTAAGATGAATTTAATCAACATAATTGAAATTACTCTTATAACTCTAATTGAAATTAACCTACATTTTATCACATCATATACGGACTGTAATTAAAGTCCGTGCATCATACGTGCATCATACATACAATTTTATGTGAAATATAATTTAAACCTGGGACACAAAATTACATATTTTAGGTCCCAGTTTAAACTTAAAACTAGTTTAAACTTTTTTATAACATGTGAAACATTCATTACTTAAGGTGCTAGAAAAGTTTGTCCTGGTATGTACATGGACCAACTTTACATGCAATTGTGCCAGCTCAGTTCTTCATATTCGAAAGAGGGGAATAGGCCTTATCTCTATTTACCACTTTTGGGCCATCTCTGGTAAAGACACCGATAGTTGATACATATTCAACCTGTGACAGGACCAGGGATTTGCATGCTCTACTCATGGAGAAACATTTTGTGATAGGAACATATCTTCTGCTCACGCGCGGTTCTTAATACTGATTTGGGAAGACTGGAAAATTAATTGCCTTAAAGTGTATCAAGCCATATATTTTCTATATGCGGTTTACAAAATCCTTGTTTGAATTTTACTGAAAGAACAACTCCAAAAATACCCGTATGAAAGAAATATGTTGGTATATTTCCTTTTGAGCGAATGATGGAAGCAGAAATCATAGCTGCACGAACATTTAAAACATTAATAGTATAGCAGCATAATATTTTGTTCCAGAACATTTTATTTTGTTTATATATATTATTCGTGTGTTTTAAATAGAAGAGAAATTCTATGTTATTACCACTTCGAGAATATACCATAAGAATAAGAAAACAACATATGTTTACCATTTATAAATTTAATTAAAACAATATTTCATTACATATACAATGTACTTGTAGCTTTATATCTTTTAAAATTATAATGTTTGTTTCTTTTTCCAATACATGTTGGCGTTCAGTCAACCTTAGAACCGGATTTCCTGGATAAGTGGATATTACCAATATCTCCGCAAGTGCGAGATAAATGACCAAGGGGGCGGAGTGTGGTTATTTGTACGTTTTTTCGTTACACGTTGTCTTGCCTTTATTTTAAAAAAGGGTTGAAGTTTAACATATGTAGATAAATATATATCATTTGAATCTCTAGTAAAATGTTAATGCTTGCACTAATATAACTTTATAGGTAAACAGGTGAGATTATATGGTTTTCTTATTATAGTACTGTACATGGGGATTAACTGACAAATGCAGACGACATAATGCAAAAGAAAATGTTGGCTAAAAAAGTAGAAAAATTAAATATGAAGCTGGAAGCGGACCTAAGCTTTGATATTTGACATAAATAAAGTATTTAACGCAATAATTGATAAAAAATTAAAGGAAATCATTTTTTTACATTTGACTGGGTTATTTCCGTTCCGTTTTGTGAACGGTAAACAGTTATTGTTATCTTTTTCAATATACCAGTAATGACTTTCAAAAGGCTGTATGCTCGTACATGTATTATCTTTGCCTTACACTTCAATCTTTCTTTAGTGAACTAATGGCGGGGTTAATATCGATCCGATCAGAAAGATTTAAAAAGTAAACAGCAATATTCAATACACTTAATCAATACATATACAGAACGTATTGAAGTGAACACATGGTTTTCGGATATATTCATAACAAACCGACACTTTTATCGACAAGGATTTCATTATATAATCCATAATCGCATGGAGATATTAAAATTCTAGTCAAGACTAAGGACACATACAAAAATAAAATGTTTGGAATATGTGAATAAAGATGTTTTGGTAATACAACTATTGCGTAAAATGAAGGAATTAGCCATTATGAGTAAAGTTTAGAATGGCAGAACAAGACGGAAAGAAACTCGTAGGCTAATATCAGGTGATATGGTGTGACAATGTCGGAAAGGGTGGTTCGGAATGTAGAAAATGACTACTTAATGTGCAGTATATGTCTCGGTCGTTACAAGGACCCTCGACTGTTGCCATGTGGTCACAGTTTTTGTAAACAATGTCTACAAGAACACATTAAACAAACTGTTACAGATCCTCTTGCCTTGAATTTCAAGTGCCCAAATGATCGAACTCGAGTTGGCAGACCGACGCCCGGTCTTGCTCCTAAACACTGGGCCGGATCTTTCCCGCCTGATACCTTCCTCGGGAGCTTGCTAAGTGCCGTGCTTGTGCACGGAACTACGGATAAATCGGAGGCTGAAAGCATGACTTGTAAGGAGCATAAAAGTAGACTGAAGGAGTTTTTCTGTTTGAAATGTTCAATTACTGCGTGCGCATTATGTGTTGTTAAAAACCACAAGAGCAGTCGGTGCGAGTGCGTTGGCATAGACGAGGCCGTAGAACATTTGCGACCGAAATTGGATCAACTAAAAAACTCACTACAGAAACAAGTAAAGTTCGCAAAACAATATCAGTATGGTGGGGATGCGGGACATAATTCTCTGAAGAGCTGTAAAGACAAGGCATTGTCAGAACTTACAGATCTCGAGACCAAGTTGAAATTTTATTTTCAAACGGCGATGCAGCAGTTTGACGATATGAAGCAGACGATAAAAGACGCTGGAAAATCTGCCGTTAAAGACAACTCACAGTCGACGATTATCGTAGGTAAAATAAACGAAACTATCGGAAATTTTGACGAAATATGTACCTCTGGCACAGGCATTGAAATTTTAAACAGCGTTACGAAAATTGAAGGGCAGGTGAAACAGTTCGATAATGCTCTTAAAGCACTTTCAACAAAACTACCGGCAATGGACATTCATTTTGCAGTTAATAAGGAAACTGAAAGGGTTTTTGAAAATGCCCCCATGCTTGGCTCAGTAATTATTCAAAGTATAAACCCTTACGAAGTAGGAACAAACCTACAAAGTCAATCTGAAACAAGTAATGTCAGTATCTTGCCGCGTCCCGTTACTTCAAGAGAAGTCCCGAGATTGAATTTAAATTCAGCAAGAACTGCACGATCTTTGAGCCTACCATCATCTACACCGAGGTCTGAGATTGATACATGGAGGTCCGACATGACCCCGCGCAGGTCAAAAGTAACGTTAAGTGTAAAGTCAGCTGACAGGTCGAACACGTGCTGGCAATTAACAGGGGTCGCCATTATCGAAGACAGTATAGTTTTGACAGACGCTCACAACGGCCAACTTTTCCGATTCTCCATCAGAAATACAAACGCACCGCCAAGCCAATTAACGTTGAATTGTCCCGTGTGCGTTTGCCAGTCGCATGAGAGCACTGACGCTGTGGTTACGCTTCCTGAACAAAATGAACTTGCGTTTATAGGAACTGAAGACAGTTTTGTGCTTATGGATACTGTACCTACAGAAAAGCCTTACGAAGGAATTGCAAAACTTCCCGACGGAAAATTCGTAGTTTCTTGTTGTGTTGTCGGCAGACAAGCTGTCGACATAATCGACACGAGAGCAGTTATTTTAAAATCTATAGATAAAACGGAATCAGGCGAAGAACTGTTTAGCTGGCCAAGATTTTTATCTGTGACCTCTGGTGGCGACATTCTAGTGTCTGACCGTGATAAACGTGCACTCCTCTGCATAGATACGCAAGGTAGAGTCAAATGGGCGTACCCTATAAATGCATCGCCATGGGGCGTGTCTTGCCATTCGAATGGGGAGGTCTATCTTTGTTTAGACAACAGCCAAGTTCAACTTCTTACAGAAGCTGGACGATTAGTTGACAATAGGTATGTTGAAGGAAGAAGGGATGGTGTGAAGGTACCTTATGCAATTCATGCTGTTGGAGATATTTTAGCAGTTACTGAATGGGGCTCCAGTTTATTTGCTCCCAACAGTCCAAGAGTTCATCTTTTCAATGTGTAATTGACAAAGATGTAAAAAGTACTTACTGCAGTACAGGACTTCTTGTTATATGTGGCAGTTGTGAAATCATTCCATGAAGCCAATAAAAAATTAATATGCTCAAATAAAACGTATTTTTAATTTGTTTGTGCGAATCTATATCTTGAAAGAAATGCATATATGTAGTGGATGTTAAAGAGAGGTTCACCACTACATCCTTGTGTCTAACCCTGCTTATATAGAAACTGATTAGTCTTAGCCACTAGTAAAGAGCCAGGTTCTATACTGTGACCAAACTTGATAATGTACAGTCCCAAAAAAATGGAAGCTGGTAAAGTCCATTTAAGAATTTCAGCAGGTGAAGGGTTGACTTGAGTTTTAATTCTCTCATAATAGTACATGGAGGGAGATAACCTATTATTCTGTAACACTATGTACTTTTTAAAAATCAAAACTGGTAGTCTAACATATGATTAAGCATATTAGTTGTTACTTTTTTTCCTTTGGAAGATATATCGCAATTAATGCAATATAAATTTATCACCTTACACACGGAACACATACATGTAATTCATGGATAGAAATTATAAGTCTTATATCTGAAACAATGATTTTTACAAAATCAATACTAAAAAATCAAAATCAATACTTTACACCTTCTTGCCACAGACTGCATTTATTGGATACCTTCTTTGATAAAAACTGAAACATTTCCAATCATTTACACAAGTCTTACATTTTGATTCTAATTCAAGTAAATTATGTCGTAACAAACCTAATGTAACAGGGTTAAAAAATGTGGTTTTTTTTTCACAATCATACACATTATAAACCAAAACTAATGGCATTTATTTATTTCAATCTATCTGATAATAATTCAATGCACAATTGCAAAACATCCCGCTAAATAAAGTTTAACATAACAATAACAAGAATATAATAACATGATATTTTAAAACTAAAATAACAAAACATTAGACATAAGTCATAACATAACACATAAATACAGTTGTATTCTAGAGAAATACCCACAGGAACTCCACTGAGGTTCAAAAGCCTAAATACTTAAAATTTGAATTTCTTACATATATCAGCTTAAGCACTTAAAATAGAAATATATTAAAAATAGTAAAGAAATATACTCAGAAATAGATTGAAAATTGTATTTCCGTGCTATTCTTATCCTGATTTGAGTTTTTTGACATTTTTCACGATTAGAAATTCTGGAAAAACAGAGCGAGCAAATGACCTAAAATTTTGGAATCCAGTAATTGAGCTTGACCTACATCAAATGGAATATTAATTTGATAAATTATTTCCAGTCATGTCATGTCAAAAATAAACCTCAGTAGACTCCCTATAAATAATATAAAATTTATTAAAAACAAAAGTACTGAGTAAATATATGGTTTAAACATATTTTTTTACACTCTGTTACGAAACAAGTTCTTGCAACTTATATTCATCACTTCCTGGAACTAACCGGTACTGGTATAATATGGAGGAACATAGATGTGACCCAAGTAGGGCTTGAACCCATGATCTCGGGGTTGAGAGGCAGACACCTTAACCACTAAGCCACAGCTCCCCTAAATGTTTTCAATATATGATGAATATAATGAAACACTTTGAACTGCATTATTTCAAAATGCCTTAAAAGTCTATGAATTTTAAGAAACTACAAAAAATGCAAACATCACTTATTCTGAATTATATTGTTTCAATTTATCAAATTTGTACAAATATAACCTATATAGATGTAATACTGTATTGTACTAAAACCTAAATAACAGACCCTCTATCCTTATACAGAGTACTACAGTGGATTTCTTCCAGATTTAAGCTTAACAAAAGAGATACAAGCCTGTATATAACATATCTGAAGCTTATAACAAGAGCTGTTGGTAGGACAGCTTGCTCCACTATTCTCATTGTGTGATAGTATAACAAGAGCCTAGATAATGTAGAATTTTCTCTCTTCAATTCAACAAGAGGGCCATGATGGCCCTGAGGTCGCTAGCCTGTATATAGCCCCCCCCCCCCCCCCCCCGAGCGGGGCCAGTTTAAACCCCAGGGCTTTTATTTGAACAAACTTGGAAGACACCCATTTGATGTTAAGTTTTTACTACACATATATAATGAAAAACAATGATCTCCCCCCACCCCCCACAGGGCCAATTTTAACCCCAGGGCTTTTATTTGAACAAACTTGGTAGACACCCATAAGAAGATGTTTCATGCTAAACATCTAAGCTCTAGCTCATTGGGTTTTTTAAAAGAAAATTTTTTTGAAGGTTTTACTATACACATATAGTTAAAAACAATGACTCCTCTGGGGCGTGGCCAGTTTTGACCCCAGGGCTTTTATTTGAACAAAGTTTGAGGAAAATCAATGACCCCCGGGCGGGGCCAATTTTGACCCCAAGGCTTGGTAGACAACCATTAGAACATGTTTCATGCTAAATATCTTAGCTCTAGCTTTTTGAGTTCTTTTAAAGAAGATTTTTTTAAGTTTTTACTATATGCATATAGGGAAAATCAATGACCCCCTGGGGCGGGGCCAATTTTAACCCCAGGGCTTTTATTTGAACAAACTTGGTAGACACTCACTAGAGGATGTTTCATACCAAATATCTAAGCTCTAGCTCTTTGAGTTCTTTAAAAGAAGATTTTTTAAGTTTTTTACTGTATACATATAGAGAAAATCAATGACCCCTGGGGCGGGGCCAAATTTGACCCCAGGGCTTTTATTTGAACAAACTTGGTAGACACTCACTAGAAGATGTTTCATGCCAAATATCTAAGCTCTAGCTCTTTGTGTTTTTTAAAAGAAGATATTTAAAGTTTTTTTCTTTCAGTTGCCATGGCAACCAGAGTTCTGCATGGAATTAAATTCTTTGAACAATTTTTAAAGGTGACCACCAATGGAACATTCCTGTGAAGTTTGGATGAAATTGGCTTATGAGGAGATGTCATTTAAAGTAAAAGTTTACGGACAACGGACGGACGGACACCGGACGAAATGCGATCACAAAAGCTCACCCTGTCACTTTGTGACAGGTGAGCTAAAAAGGGTCATAAATCTGTAAAAATCCGAGTTAAGAGTTATGGACCTTGGTCAAAGACCTCATTTTATGCTCTCAAATAAGTGTGTGAAGTTTCGACCGATTCTCTTCAGCAGTTTTGCATGCAAATTCTTAACCAAAGTGTGACGCTGATGCAAACACCAATGCCTTCAAACATTATCAAATTTACCAGATCATTAACAGTTTTATAACTGATTAAATATACTAGTACAATTTTAAAACCTGTAAAATATTAATGATGTCAAATTCTTAAGGTCATCTCATAGGAAACATGTCAATTTATTTAATGCACATGTCTAATATATTTAAACAGAATAAGATTTCCATGAACAAAATATTCAACTGTAAATTGTCTTTTTCTGATACTGTAACCCTTTATGATAACAATTCCAAATTCTAAACAAGGCAAGTTTACAAATTAAGCATGGAAAGGATTACTTTAAAATCATATTACAATTTGCTTGTACACTCCTCACTCAAACAATGTCACATAGCCCTTTTTGTACAGACATGTTTGTATCTCCAAAGTGTGGACAAGTAAATTTCAAATCTATCAGCTTTGTATAAATCCTCAAAACTTCTGCCCTCCATCAAGGAAGGACGTTTTTGGTAGTTTTCATATAGACATGTAGGCAGTATTAAAACTGTTAGAATTTCTTTAAACTTGGCATATTGTTAGACTATGATAACAGTCAGACATATTTTAAGTGGAAAAAATTGGGTGTCACCAATTACACATTTGAGTTATCTGCCATTGAATCAGAATTGTTAACTGATTTTAGGTCATTTCCAGGACAGATAACTAATTCATATGTTTACAAAATTTTTTTTTTCTTATTTCTGGATAAAGTTTTTCTTTTTATTGATCATAATACAATATAACATGCAATTCCATAATTTATTTCAATTACAATTCTCCAGTTTGAATAAAGGGACTCATAATTTTTTAAAAATAGGGGCATAGATTTAGAAAAGAAGGGTAAAGAAACATTCTGCTTCCTATTACATTCCGCTCCCATAAGCTTCCTTGCTTTCATTGTGAATCACCTGCCATTAAATTAAGCAAAAAAGTCCATATTTCTTTTATCATAATCTAACCATATGGTAAGATTCAAGAAATTCTTTTCAACAGTTTTAATTTTGCCTACATGACTATATAAAAACTCCCAAAATCATCTTCAATACACCACATTCATTGGTCGTATAATAATCTTAATTTTCAGAGTATCAATATCATGTTTATATTTAGACTCTGACTTAAAAAGGTCATCATAAGGGATGACATCTTCAAAATTAAACAATCTATGACCCTTGTCGAATATGGCATCTTTTGTATTAGCATAGTAAACAAATTCTTCTTGCACTTGTTCTGTTGCTATGACTAGCACTGTGATTTGAAATCGTCGCTTGCACTCACACTGTGTTGCAAGAGCAAGTCTTACTGTCTTGACAACCGCACCTGGATTCATCAAATTACTACGCACTCGTATCACAACACAAGGATCGTATACGACACCTTTTGGATAAAACATAACATGCCAGTCTAAATGTGTGTGTTGGTCAGCATCGGAGCAGCTTGATGGCGTTGTAAAAAACGCCCCACGAACTTCCCCTTGATTTACTGACGCTAAGTTTTCAACAGTTATAGTGGTGCTCCAGCTTTCAGTGTCATAGATTCTCGGAACAGCCTGAATTCCCCATCGTCTCCTTTCTTGTGGTCTCAAGTACTCTGTATCAAAGTTTATTGTATGGTATTTCATAGCCGAAAAGATGTTTCTCAGATAAAATTCTTTGTGATCATTTACAAATGGGTCATTTTCAAGAGCAGCCAGTTCTGACAAATGCATCATGGGAAATCGTATGTTTTTCATGATTGATTTAAACAATTCTTTCGTGTCCTCTTCCTGTTCGCATTCATTTTCAACGAGCCATCTTTTCACTGCAATGTATAAACTGTATTCCCCATTCACAACAATGTCTGAACTTTGTAGCAAAGTCAGCAATACATCTTTACTAGTGTTAATAAATTCTGGAGAGTTAATCACCAATTCAAAATTACGTTGCAAAAACTGAAAGCAGACATCTTCAACATTGTTATACCCACACATCAAAGCATACTGTAACCATGATATAACAACATGTTTCGATTTCGGCAAACAGTTCTCACAAATGTAATCAAGACATGACTTTGACAGATCTGAAACATCATACTTGTCAGCCAGAGCCAATAAAGGTAGGACGTTATTCACATCCAACTCGACCTGACCTTTATACAGATATTTCAGGAAAAGTGGAAACACGGTGGCACATTCTACATCTTCTTGCAGCACAATAAGGTTACTTCTACCCTCAGGCCATGTATTACTGGATAACATCGTCTTGAACACATCACTGCTCATACATAGCACCATTCTATGGGTGGCATACCTTAAACAACAAATTTGTGTATGTTTAGTCTTGAATAAGTACAACAACAAATTTGTAATAATTCCTGGATTTTTAGCTCTTTACATCATATGTCTGACATGCAAAAATAAAATTCAGCAACAGCACTAGCATATAATTTGAAATGTTTTAGTAAGTGCACATTATTATGTTCAAATAATGCATATGAATTGCATTAAAAGGTTAATTGATGGTTAAATTATTTAACATTATGGTTTTTTGTTTGTTAGGTTTTATGTGCGGCACAAACATTGTCATGGTTGTTATATTATGGCCACTTTCCAGCTTTACTAACTCTATTCAAGTAAGACCTCATGTGCCCCTCTGCATTATTTTAAGCACAAATTGCACCTAAGTAGAACCACTGACATTCTGTAAAGCTAGCTTGGATAGCTTTCTCGCAATGAAGAATCTGAAGTACCTGGTAGAATTTGAATGCACAGTGGACTGCCGTGAGGGGCAAGAGTTTTGAGTCAATAATCTTAACCACCGATGCCCTTGATATCATGTAAAGAAGTTGAAAGTAAACATAGTAGCACTGCTACATAGTCCAGCAATACTAGTGGCTTACTGAATACAACTGAAATCATCCAATGCTGTCCCATACTTGCAATTTAACCAAAAAAAACAAAAACATAAGCAATCAGTTCATACTCCCTATAAAATGAAAAGACAGAAATATGTAGAGCAACAAGAACATACTTTGTACTTCCAACTTTAATTTGAATGTCCGAAAATTCCTGTCTCTCATACAACGCAAACAATCTGTTCAGAGTGTGGCTTGAATTATTGACTTCTTTTGACATGTTGATTCTGAAAATACATGTTTCATAAAAAATATTTCATTATCAATTATTAAATAACATGCTTGTCCATTTTCATAACTTTGTCACTGGGAGTAAGTAAATAAAGATTAGGAAGTATTGGCATAAATATTCAGGCTTAATCTGGCTCTTGCGCATTGGCCCTTTCATTGAAAGACCGCTTTTTTTTTTACAGTTTTACATTAATCGGAAAATGCAAATTAAAGACAAAGCGGAATTGTCCAATGTAAAAAATAGCTTCAAATCCATCTAAATACTTTGGGCTACCATGAGTGTGATTTTTAAACCCATTCCCTTCAGTGCTTTTGGAGATAGCTACTTGCATGCAAAACTTTAACCCAAGTGTGACACCCATGCTGACACCATGATCTTCCAATCTTCGAAAAGTCAAGCTAATAATTGTTTCTGATGCCAAAAATAATTGTTCCAGTTACTTGTGTTGTTTTTATGATATCTTACAATCCTTGATGGCTTATCCAAGTCAAAATTTGTTAAAAGATAGCTGATAATATTTTTTGTGATATACATATAATGTTATTTTATTAAGATCACTGATAAAAAAAGTATTATGAATTGTAAATGACATAAATGCAAAATTGCAATTTAAATCGTTATGAAGATGGTTAAGAGATAATTATTGATAGCGAGCTAAAAGAGCTGGCCCAAAGGGCCTGCTCGCAAAGCAAGCTTTACGGTAACAGGGCTGGGAATCAAAACTGCGTCGTATCCTACAAAATGTAAACAAACGCCGCCATCTTGGAACGAAAAAAGTATGTTTTTGTTGATAACTCTTTTTGTTGGAAATGACTGAAAACCAGATATATGTATTAACATGCTACACTATTTTCCGCTTCGTTCGGTATATGTTGCTTGCACAACTATTTTGTAAAACAAAAGTTATAGCGAACTTGCAACTCGAAGCTGGGCAGAATTTTTATGAAACTGTGTGGATACGACGCAGTTCATATTGCTTTATCTATCGTTTTTTCCTTCAAATCAATTATACATTTGTTTGGCGGCGTTTGTTTACATTTTGTAGGATACGACGCAGTTTTGATTCCCAGCCCTGCGGTAACGCGAGTACCTGCTAGATAGTGATAGTTTTGAAAACTTTCCGAAGTACTGAATTGACACATAGCAACTTTTCGAATTACAAGATAAAAATAAAAGCCGACGTATTCTGATTGAAAACGGAAGTGTAGACTGGTGTCCTGCGCACTTATATGGGAACCATAATAAAACAGGGTACCAGAATAAGCGGAAGCAGTGTATAAATATCGAATTACAGTTTTAAAATTAAATTAATAAAATTATTTTATACTATTTCATGGTAAAAGTAAATTGAGCTCGCTATGAGGTTTTGCCTTTTTCATATTAAAACTTCATCATACAGATTAAACTTAGTAGAAAAATAATAAAATAAAAGCATCGATCTGTGGGTCACGCGTGATTTGACAGAGACCTTCATTAACCTTGTTTTGAGGTTGTTATCCAGACATTTTTCTGTCCGAATATTACTCCATTACAACAAATGCTCATTCCTCGCGCATTAAAGAATTTCCCAATAAAAATCCCCCCTAAGAAAATTACAAATGCTTTAAAGTTATGATAAAATTTAGTGATATTTATTGCATATCAAAAACAAAAGCACAATTTACAATAAATGAGAAATTACCAGCTGCAAAATAAAGGCATAATTTCTATGTGTCGTGCAATATACTTAGGTTAGTCCGTGGGTTAGACAACACTATATATCCACACAGTATTTTTTACGCAATTTCTTTGATGAGACCTGGGAAGACGATGATATTCGTCTAACGAGATATAACTGATCTCCATGATAAGGCTAAGTGTCATCTTTAAAACAGACAGTCAGGCAGCATTAAGTTAAGTATATATTTGCTCTCGAAGCATTTCCTCATTCGATAATCTATAAGGTTTGAGGAAACAATTTATTAAATTTATTTATTCAAGGAAATTAAGAAGCCCCTCAAAATTATGTTTTTCATTGATTAATATTTTTTTTTACTGGTTTATACCAGTTTTTGGTTTTTTCTTACATTATGTCTCTCCCTCTTGTCCTTTGAAGAGCTAATATTATAATAATGTACTTTTACAATAAATAGATATTTATTTGAAACCATGAAAAAATTAAAGATGTTTGATGAGTTGGTTTATTACATCAAGCTTCTTTGTAAATGAAGGATTTCAGACTACCTACATACGAGAATCAATCTTTCGTTATTTTTATTCTTTTCTAGGATGTATAAGTAATATGACATTTTTTTTTAAAAATAAATTAAATTTCACCGTCGATATTTTAGAACCTTTTAATCACGGGGGAGGAAGTGTATATACTACAAAAACACTCGTTAAAAATGGTCATTTTCATCTTTCCAAAATGAGTTTTAGGTGCTAAATTAAACTTTAATGATTAAGCTTGTCTTACATCTTGCATTATGTGTCAAAAACTAGTTCACAGGCAATTTTTAATCGCCTCTTGCTTCAAATCTGGTAGTTTTGAGTAAAATTTCTAAATTATTTGCCAATTCACAAGTATTGACCTGTTTATTTCTGGTCTTCATCCTTACCATACATTATTACCTAATTCTAATGCAAAATTGCAAACATAAAGCACCGGTTTACAGATTTATACCCGATTTTTCAAATGTCCCGGAGTTCTTGTGATAACTCTGAAGATGTCACAGAGTTCTTATGATAACTTTTGTTATTGCCAGTGTGTTTCTTGCCCTAAATCACGGCACGTTTTAGCGTTTTTTATTATTCAATGAGATTGTAAATCATTATGAAATGTAGTACGCTCATCCTTTGCACAAAAAATAGGATATATAATGTTGGTTTTGAGTGAATTTTAGTTCAAGAGATATTATTTCTTACCCCCGTTTCTTTTTCATAGTATTTTTTTTTTGTTTGACGCAGATTTCGTAGACTGGAAAAAGGATTTATGTACTGGTTTCCTAGCAGTTTCCGGCCCCTAGCAGTTTTCTGGCCCTTTATCATTTTCATCCAGACATACAGTCTATTTTTTCTCAGTTAAGCATCTATGTTACTGCATCAATCAGAGAAACATTTGTTTTCTATGTAAAACAGCAGTTATAATAGTACAGCGATTAATATGTTTCAAAGTTTAGTCTGTTGTAAGTTACATTAGAGACTTTGCGACACTTACAAGCAACACCTGGGGAATTCTAGTTTGAATGCCCATACACAATAACTGAAATCCCATTCTAGGTAAATCTTGAACCTGGAGGGACAGTTCGAATTTTTTCGAGAGATCGGTAGTTAGAGCCAACCGCAGTTGATTTTTTTTTATCTTGTATCGTACTTTTTTAAGACATAGGTGTGGAAATTATCCTGGTTATATGCTTATTCATTATGGTATAAAATGATACAAATTACTTAGCCCTTAGGTAAGGGAAGCATGCTTATATATTGTCTGCTTAAGAAAGGTGGTTGCTTAAAACATGTGAAACTGAGAACAACTTGTACTTTTTGAGACATTTTTGTTTTGTGGTTTAAGCCATTATGCTGCTGAATATCAGTGGCCGCGAGTTCAATTTTTACTGTAGATGATAGCCTATCAGCTATTTATCCTTTGCAGACACATAAAACCAACGTTTTGTCCACATTTTTGTGCAAAGGATGATCGTACTGCATTTCATAATGATTAAAATCTTATTGAATGATAATAAACGCCAAAACGTGCCGTGATTTAGCGCAAGAAACACACTGGCAATAACAAAAGTTATCATAAGAACTCTGTGACAACTTCAGTGTTATCACAAGAACTCCGGGACATTTGAAAAATCGGGTATAAATTTGTTAGTCGGTGCTTTATGTTTGCAATTTTGCATTATAATTCGGTAATTATGTATGGCAAGAATGAAGACCAGAAATAAACCGGTCAAAACTTGTGAATTGGCAAATAATTTGGAAATTTTACTCAAAACTACCAGATTTGAAGCAAGAGGCGATGAAAAATAGTTTGTGAATTAGTTTTTGACACATAATGCAAGATGTAAGACAAGCTTAATCATTAAAGTTTAATTTAGCACCTTAACTCATTTTGGAAAGATGAAAATAACCATTTTTAACGAGTGTTTTTGTAGTATATACAGATGTTTTCCGACGAACTTCGTGACAGTTATCACAAGAACTCCTGAACAAGTTATCACAAGAACTCCATCCTTCGTGTAACACTTCCTCCCCCGTATTTATTAACACAATGACTAAGAAACAACAGATCGTTATTTTTGATAGTTTTCTTCATTTGAGATATAACTACGATATATATTCTAAATATGTACACGTTCTTGGATATGCACATGCGTTTAAAATAAATTCCCCTTTTCACAGAATCAAGTATGGCACATCTGTTTCAACAACTAAAAACTGTGTGCAATCTAATGAGACTTAAATATTATTAAGAATAATAATAATAACAACAACATCTTCATTGATATATGAACATGTTGTATATAGATTTTTACCATATATATTATTTGCTAGGACATTATAGGACATTATATCACAGTGCAATATTTATGTAATATAGCTAGGTACCTGGTTGTATGTCCCAGATTTTTTGTACATAAGGAATTTTACTTGACCAGCCAGAGTTTCTATAACTTAAACATGATTAGAATAACATCTATTTACATTTATTTCTATTCATACTTGAATAAAAATGTTCATTTATGTAAAAAGATACAAAACATATATTTTTTTCGAACAGTTATAAGGTTATGCAGAAAACGTAAGAAACTATATCCGATATTTCAAATTTGGACTGTATATAAGAATCTTAATTGGCCAGAGCAGGATTTTGAGATTTTGAATTCAAACTTACATGAAATTTGAAATGAACGCATTGCACGTGACACACGTAACTGCCAAAATCGAAATGAAGTGCAGTATGAATAATTATGTACATCATATATGTTTATGCACTGTGCATAACATCAGTTTCATTTCGGATGGTCATTTAAACTCTTTGATAATACAGATGTATTAATTTAAACCCATAAAGAACTTAAAGGGATAACAAGCAAGCCCGCAATACTTTTTAAGCAAAATCACATGTTATATCCAACTCTCGAGCAACCAGCTACAGAGGGTTGTTAATTGATACTGGTGCGCAAACGTCACGCCGAATTAGCCAATCGCTTGACAGCTTATACGTCATGTGACATAAACCAATTAAGCGGAACTATGCATGGAAGACTAACGTAGGATTTGACAACAATGGCTTAACTTCACATTTTCGTTTTAAGATAAATTCTAGTGGAGTGCATTGGGTCTGAAATAAATGTGTTTAATATTTTGCATTAAATATGAAATACAAACGTGGTCGGATATGTGTGAAAGGACCGCGTATTATTCCTAATTCGAGTTTGCTAAGGATAAAATCAGTGGGTGGGGTAAAGGTGTGAAAAACAATCGAATTTGAGTGATTGTGTAAACCGTTTATTTTGATTACCTTTAATTTGTGTATACAGTTAGGATATTCAAATCGGATTAATCTTTGACGGGTGTTAGACATGGATGCAGGGATTGATAAGGATATTGGTGTTTATGGTGGATTGTTCCTTACAATAGTTTCAGACCTAAGGGTAGGTACCCCACTGTCTGGCAGCAATAAAATAATGTTACGCACTATTAACATGACACTGTCCTTAATTACATAATTATGTCAATTAATGGCCTGCATGACAATTTTGTATGTGCATTTGTTTTAATAAGAAAAACAATTGAGAACTTATAAAAGTAGATATATTTTATGTTAACAAACATTTGTTGAAAAGGATATATCAGAGACATAGATGTTATCTACATCTCTGGATATATTAAACAAATGTGCTTCAAAATTTATTGAATTAAGAATTGGTAATGCATTGGAATTTGGATTACGCCAATTTACGGACAATTTATTTAATAATACCATACAAGTTTATGTTCCTGAAGATTTACACACAGTCCATGGCGAGACTTATTAATTATTGTCTATTGTTTTAAGTATTAATAAGTCATTGAATTTAGCACTGGCCTGGTGGCCCATGGCCATGGAATATATATTATAATTATTCTGACAAATCTTTTTTGGTAAGGACATGATATATATGCTGAGATTTTAAGTAAATGCATGTATGTAATTACTATAAGCAGTCATTGTTTATTTAATGTTGCACAGATATTGTGATAACAAGTTACCTACCCCAAGGCTTAGTTGTAGCATATTCTTGAGATACAGATCATGAATATTGATCAAGATGTTGCATCATAAAGGCAATCATTTTGCTGTAATGACAGTTACATACATACATACATACATACATACATTGTACTATTTGTAGAGCTGATTATTCTTGCTTGTATTTATTTTTCAATTTTTTGCATGGGTACAAGTTTTCAGGCATTGCCTTAAATTTAGTTTTTTTCTACTCCTGAAAGCTTTTTATTTTCTATATAAAATCAATTGAAATAATACGAAATTCATGGTTTTCAGTTTTTCTGATATTTTTAGCTTGCACCCATGTTTTTGTACAATGGATGTATTTACATTGATTGAAAATTTATTCTCTGTAAAGTTATAACTACTGCCAGTACTGGTATATGTTTACATATTGACTTTTGTCAAATTGTATTACTGTTTCTTTTTCTTTTACACGACTGTATGGAAAAAGAAAGTAATTTTATGTCAATTCCGTTATTGTGAATAAATCTGACCTGTTCATAATTATTCAGGTCATATCATCATCAATTTTCATCATGTAGGAAAATTTAAACATTTCTTGATATTCCATCTGTATTCAGATATATATAACATTTTATTTAATTAGATTTAATTAATGTATTCATTTCCTCCTGGAGAAACACTCCAATTAAATGCTTCCGGAATATTGTAAAACTTGTTTCAACAAAGACAGCCTAGCACACAGCTGCAAGTAGAATGTTCCATTGAAGGCTTTTAGTTGAAACTATTCAACTCTCCAGTCCTGCTGATGGGTCTCAACATTAAAAGTCAGTGATGTGAAAAACAAGCATAATTGATAAATTTGCAGGAGAAAAAGAGAAGATATTTATGAACTAAAATAAGCTTGAATTAGGTCATTACAATATTATTAATAAAGCAGTTCTAAATCGTCTTTAAAAACAAGAATTTAGCGGCCAGAATTTAGTGTTAATGTTTATAAGATTATTGATAATTTATAAACATTTAGGAAATTAAGTGTGTTATTATTAATTGATATATAATTATATGTGTAATTTTTGTAACAATATAATGATTTAAGCAATGTCCAAGTTAATGAAGGAAACTAATCAAGTGGTTATATTGAAATGTTACGGAAGGGTGTTATCAGTATAGGAAACATGGAGGCTAGATTAGGTTGTGATAATTCTTGATTTTGCATTAATTTTCTGCCAAAACAATAGATTGAATAGCAAATTATGAAATGTCCAAATCAGCTGTTATACAGTTATACAAAGATGTTTAAGATGAAATAGAAAAACAAATTTAGTCTTCAGCAAGACCTCTTGACAATTAGGGTCAGCTGTACTAGAAATTTGTGTACGTAATGTATACTATATAAGAAACATTAAAATGAATCACAGTCATATGAGTAAAATAATTCTTTAAATTATCAAACAAAGAAATGTAAAAAGGAGCCGTTTCCAACATAGTGGGTTTGTGACCAGCATGGATCCAGACCAGCCTCAGTATCTGTGCAGTCTGATCAGAATCCATGCTGTTCGCTTACCAACCCTATTACAAGTAGAGAAACTGATAGCGAACAGTATGGATCCTGATCAGACTGCGTGGATGAGCAGGCTGGTCTGGATCCATGCTGGTTGCAAACCCACTATGTTGGTTTTGTCATGATGCGGCTCAAATATTAACAATCTTGGTGAAACTTTGAATGAAGTATGACAGAACTTACTATTTTTATCTTTAAAAAAATCTATTTACTTAAGGACTCTATAAGAGAAATTTCTGGCAATTTTTGACAAGTTATATATAATTTCTGTTGATTGTTACTGTCTTATGGTAGGTTAAATCATTAAAATTGTACACTTAATAACTACATTTTTCACTCCTTTGATCAATTTTTAAGCTTTCATAATAAAAATTACACTAATTTTGGGCTTTTGGAGGCATGCTGCTGTAAGTTTAATGCGTCAGTAACATAAATATATATGTAACTCTCTGGAGTACTGATTTTCAGCAAAGGAGTCAAATAGTTTTGATGTGTACTTCTGAAGGTAAACATTAATTGTAAATGTCCACAACAGACTGATTATCTTAAACACCTGATCAAATACGTCTTACTGTGTCTGTGTGAAAATTATTCAAGATAAGTATGAATTGATAAACAAAAATAGCTAACATAAACTCTGTGTACACAGAGTAGTTGACCTCTTCTTAAATACAGATTTAGATATTTAATAAATAAATGTAGACATGTGGCAGTTTGAAAGGTTTTAAAGATTGTTTGGGCTGACTGAATAGTGAACAGTGCAGACCGCGATCAAATGGCACAAATGTGCTGGCTGATCTTGGTCTGCACTGGCAGCTTGATGGTACCTTGTAAATTCAGTTGCAGCCATCAGGCTAAGGTGAATCATATTGGAACTTAGGTAGTGCAGTCCGTCTATTTGTACAAAAGGGTCTGGTATCCTAAAACATATATTTCAAGTTCAACTGAATTCAACAGATATGAATTTTTGTTGTTTAAAAAAACCCACTTACATTTGTATATTTAATGGAGAGTTGAAAATCATTGAAAATATTAAAAGTATGCTGCCAGTAGTATTATAGGAGCCTGGAGGTCTGGTCCAGATATCTTTATACTGTTGTCATCAGCTGGTTTTGTTGCTGTCAGAGTATCCGGAGGTTCATATATACATATATACAGTTCATGTACATTTATTTAAAGAATTCAAATGTGCTCGAAATAACGTTTTTAGTACAGTATTTAGAAATTTAAAATTTTGATTTTCTTAAGTTATCCTCATGTAAATTGTACTTTACTAGGTCACTTTTATCAAATAACAGAAAAGTACAAATTTTGGTTAACTGCTATTATTATGTTTCTTTGTTTGTTTTTTTAAACCACAAATGGACACTCATGGAGTACATTATTATGTTAGGTTTATTCTTGTGGAAATAATATTTTTAGTAATCAAATATATCATGTGTGAAATAGGAAGTACCTTAACCAATAAACATAGACATTTACCAAATGGTAATATTTACTTTTGGATTTAGTGATAAAAATATCATCTTATGGAAAATTAGCCTGCTTTATAAGATAGTAAGCTAGTACCAGGGTTGCACCATTTTATCTAAATGCCTAATAAAAAGTCTGCAGTAACAATGATTTATCAGGGATAATTACTTGGCAAATAAATGTACCATCCTAAATAATAGTGACAACTCCAAATATTTGCTTGATACACTCAAACCTGTGAATAAAGGCCAGTCATGGGAGAGACAAAAAATGGTATATTAATTCCATTTCATCAATGAAGGGATCTCAAAAGATGGTCTTAATTTGTAGGGTTATCTTTAATCAGAGGTCAGTGGTTAATGGCCCTTTATTAAGTACTCAGGTCTGCCTATTGTAGAAATCTTAGCTTTTATATAATGTTTCTCTGAAGAAATCTAATCAGAAACTTGACCACTGGTTTTGCCTAAAACAATTAAATCAGTCTTTGAAAACATATACATCAAAGTCAATTTGAGAATGAAATTATTTACTGCAATTAATGAAATCTAAGCTTTGAACTTGACACTGGAGTCAGCTCAACTTATATTGTAAGTCTTTGAATGCTTGAAGGTTTAATAATCTGATGCTACATGTACCAGTACAGAGCAAAGTTAATCTGTAAATCTGTGTCAATTTTCCTGACCAAAATCCCAAACATAAAAAGAAAAACAATTCCAAATCAAAAGCCTGACAAGTCCATTATTACAAATTTAGCTGGATAATCATTAATGGTTAAAGAAAAATCGTCATTGATGGTTTAATTATATAACATGTATAAAGGAATGTAATATATACAGTTTATGGCAGAGACAGTTGAATGATAAACTTTTCATCTGCAGACATTGTAAACATTTTATTGCTTTTAGAAGTAGAGTTTATATAGAAAGCAGGCATTAGCAATAAACATGTGCCTTTTATCACAAGGTGCAATATAGCTGGAGGATAAAAACATTTCATGTCAAACAAAATGTAAACGAAACAGGAATCTGCTGCATAATATGTTGTTATTCCTGGTTCCAGTCATACTCACACATAGGTTTACAGCATTCCATAATGTTCCCAGTGTTCTCATACCTGACAAAGTTCAAGAGAAAATTAATGAAAGAGTAGACATAAACTTATGAAAGTTAAGGATATTAAAGGGTCACATTCCTCACAGTTGTAGGTCCAAATCCCATATTGAAACTTGGAATATTTGCATGCGGAGATTCAGGTGCCTGTTTGTACCTAAAATAATACAAGAAAGGGCACTGTATGTAACATCTTCATATCTAAAATAATACAAAAAAGGGCTCTGTATGTGACATCTTCGTACCTAAAATAATACAAGAAATGGCACTGTATGTGACATCTTCGTACCTAAAAAAATACAAGAAAGGGCTCTGTATATGACATCTTTGTACCTAAAATAATACAAGAAAGGGCACTGTATGTGACATCTTCGTACCTAAAATAATACAAGAAAGGGCACTGTATGTGACATCTTCGTACCTAAAATAATACAAGAAAGGGCACTGTATGTGACATCTTCGTACCTAAAATAATACAAGAAAGGGCACTGTATGTGACATCTTCGTACCTAAAATAATACAAGAAAGGGCACTGTATGTGACATCTTCGTACCTAAAATAATACAAGAAAGGGCTCTGTATGTGACATCTTTGTACCTAAAATAATACAAGAAAGGGCACTGTATGTGACATCTTCGTACCTAAAATAATACAAGAAAGGGCACTGTATGTGACATCTTCGTACCTAAAATAATACAAGAAAGGGCACTGTATGTGTCATCTTCGTACCTAAAATAATACAAGAAAGGGCACTGTATGTGACATCTTCCTCCACAAATAAAGCTGCAATGTCCTCAATAACAGTATCATTGTAACTATCATTAAAATCATACAAAAATTGGTCATTGGAAGTACTATAGAATCTACGCACACTGTTTCTGTTTCTGTTTCATACTTTTAAAAACATGATATTACAGCAAACATACATTAGCATACAAATAAGTTTGAGACTGAAGTCATTTGTTTTTATTTTTCAGGGCAGTTCACCAGTTTGGGAGGATTTTACCAGCAAAGCAACAAAACTTCACACCTCCCTCAAGTAAGTCAAATAAAATTTGAGAGCAATATATCATTGTGAAATTACTGTAAAATTGATGGTGAAGCAAAGAGAAGTTAACAGGTTTCCTGCAGGGAGAAATTAAAAAAAATAATTTCTAGATATACAATTTATGTTGCACTTTTGTGCATGATTTGTAAAGGAAATACAGCTAAAAATTTGGCTGTTGAACATTCCATTAATGGCAGATCATTTTGCCTGCCATAGCTCTAAACTAAAATGCATACCATACCAAAGTAACCATGGAGCCCACAGGGAATACATATAAGTCTTTCTGATTCCCATTCCTTGATTTGTCAAAGATTGGGTTTTTTAAGGTGAAATACATTGTGAGAGAATGACCTGAAAAAAGAATGATCAGACTGGAGACATTATTGTATTATGAGAAGAAATGGTAGGACAAACATATTACCTTAAAGTACATGTAATAATTAATAAAAGGAAAATTTGGTTAGCAGTATAATAGTGAATATTGAAATTAAAAAAGGAGACACTATTAATATTCTCTTGACCCCAGTTAAATGCCCTTAATGTTTTGTAATAAAGTCAATGACAAAAATTTTTGACAGGTATTGATGTTGTAATCTAATCTTTGATGTTTATCACAAATATATAACATATTGTTGGGTAAAGTATAAATTCTGTAAATCATAGCCCAGGTGTTCTCATTATATTTACAACATTGTGAAGATTACTTTACTGAAACTGAAGACTGCTCTTTGTTTCATTGAATTTTAATTTTAGCGTTTTTAAGAAATGTAATGTTTTAATGGTTGTTTGATAGGGGGATTTTGTTGTATTTAACACATTTTAAATACAAAGGAATGAAATTCAGTTCAAAAGCCCCCCAAAAAACAATAAAATCTATATCCTTTTCAACAGCTTGCATCACAACAAGTTGTAATGTTTGAAGAAAGCAAGAAGATCTAAATCTGTTTTGTTTGTTTGTTTCTTGTTTTGAATGGTGAATTTGAGGGGTTTTACCTCATACTAGATTCATGAGTCAGTTTCGATTGCAAAATATGTTTTGTTCACTTTGGTCTTTATCTCATAGCTTCATATGATTAGTTGAATTTTGGCATAAATTTATATTGACCAATGAATGAGAGATATTTCTCCTATTTTGCATTTTATGAGATAGACTAGATACTCTTGGATGAGACGAGATGGACAAAATACCCTAAGAAGGTGTTAGATTTTGTGTTTAAAAATCTTTAGAATTATCTAATTTTGAGCCGATTTTGTGTTTAAAAATCTTTAGAATTATCTAATTTTGAGCCGATAAAATGAAAGAAAATAATGTGTATACATTACTGATTTGAAAAAAGAAGTAAATAATATACTGTATGAAAGTGGAACTTGAAAAATTTGTGGGTCTACAATTATTGTGTATACATTGTCATTATATGTGTTACTATAGCATATTTTGTTATTATTTTATTTTTAGGTCGACACTAACTGCTATATCAGCTTTCCTCGATGCCTTCCAAAAGGTTGCTGATATGGCCACTAACTCCAGAGGTATGTTCACATGACCCTCTATTACATGTATATCAATTTATTATAGCCCTCTTTGGCCCTTCATGTATTTTCATGGCCTCTATGTTCACAAAGACAGCCTTATATGCTCAATATATCTCTAATTTTAAATATGAAATAATAACCTAGCCTCCTGTCACCATTATTGTTTTCAGTAACATAGTCAAAGACCCTGTAAAGTTTTACATTAAAGCGAGTTTATTACAGTGACAAATTCAAATACAGGATATTTTTCAAATACTGGGTATTTCAAGATTAAAAAAGATTCTCGAAATTTTCATTTCATGACTGTAAACAACTTAATACTTCTTTTTGAAAAGCGAGCTTCCTTGAGAGGCATATTTTCCTTGTACAATGTATAATATAAAACCACAATATCAGCAGGAGCTTTCCACCTGTTAAATTCAAGATAAGAACATTTAAAATGCCTGATAAAAAAGTGTTTTTCAGATTCAGCCAGTACATGTTATATAACAAGTGCTAGCAGCAAATTTTGGTAGCTCGAAGTTATGATGATGAATAACAGGGTGTTCTGACATATTAGCTGCAAGCTTTTGTTGTATTGTTTAGATTATTAAAGGTTAGCTTATCTTGTTTAGACAGGTGCCCTTTTGTGAACCTGCAAATTGGAATCAGAAGTGCAATCCAAACACACATGCCAATATTTTGAAAGGGAAAATTCTGTTATATAAAAGATATAGAACATAACATCTTGACTGTAGTGGATGATCAAATACTATATAAGAATTGTTTGATGTTGATTATTAAATAACATCTTATGAAAACAATGAATAATTAATATAATACTTGTTGCTTCTGTATGATTGAACATAGTGATGTTTCAAATACTAAAAGTCTTTAACCCTTGGCTTGATGGTGACAATAGAATCTACCCATATGACCAGTGCAGACTAAAGATTTGCTGACACATGCATGCCATCTGATCATGGTCTGCACTGTTCGTTATTCAGTTAGTACATTATATTCTTGAAATTTTCCCTGAAATAATGAACATTAGATTTGTTTAAATTTACTTTTGTTCAGATTGAAAGACAGACAAGTCCATTTGAAATATTTAGCATGGTTTAAAAGGATAGAACATGATGAAATAAAATAAAAGAATGAAAACACTTTCTGTCAATATTTACAGATGATATAAAAATGACACAAATAGAAGTTTATTTTAAGAGACTGGTTTTAAAATAGCGGTATTTTTAACATAGCATTACATGTCACTCAGTTTTATCAGAAACAGTCTATTTGAGTAGAATCCCTTATACATGTGTAATGTGTTGATAAATCATGATGGACATCTGGTCAGCAGTTCTCTAAAAAACATGATGGACAGCCTCAAAATTTGATTGACATGTCAGATGGTCAGACAGCTACATTGTGTATCTAAAAGCCTGTTGAATGAACATTTTAAGAACATGTTGTGACAACGGGTAATGATGAACCCCTCTGTCTGTACGAGTATGTATATGTAGGAAGACTAGGATTGTTCAACTGTATTGCACAATATTATTTAATATTAGTGAAGCGTATGACATAAAAAACATTTATATTACACTATTTACATCATCCAGTGCATTTTTGCGGCAATTTGTTATTTACATATATATTATAGATAGCATTTGACTAATGTCTGGTTTTTTTACCTATAGGCATGTGTATATACATCGTAAATTGGGAAAATGCATTTCTTGATAGATTGGCATGCAATATATGCGTGGGCAGGCATGCAGGGCGGGTGCATGTACATGTATAAGAAGCTCAGAAGTATATTGATTTCAGAATTGATGATGATAAAAGATATTGAATTGATACAGGATTTGTCTGTGTGTTTCTAAACATTATTTAAATACATCATGTTGCATAAAACAGTTGAAATTGTGAATTATCATTTAGACTGAAAGGAATGGTGACTCTATCGGTCTCCCTAGTGATGTTCGCCTTCAATATTTACATTGCTTACCCATAAAACAGCTTTTTTTTCTTAGGGTACAATTATGCATCTTTATGTACTTTACACTTATCTAATGTTAAAACGTAATTTTCTGTCGTCAGGCTTCAAACCGCAGGACTTGCATGACCACTCCTTCGCTAAAACGTTTATGAAAGAGAAATACCTCTTTAATAGCAGGTTTGAATGTATCTGATGAATATGATGAGACACCTTACTACATCAAGTGTTAATTGTGGTAATAAACTAGTTGACATACGATTAATATCTTTATAGATGAGTAAAATAGGTGTCTCAACTTTCACTGGTATAGCCTTACCTGTCCTTTAATACCTCAAACTTGTAAAATAAAGGTGCGAACTATGTGGTGAAAAAAAACAACTTTTTTCTTGCTTTACAGCTTTCGTGAGTTTCAAGATAGTTATCATTTTGTGAAGTTCAGTTAAAATGCAATAAACTTAATGTATATACTAACAAAAACAAGAAAAATCTACACGCATACATCAGTCTTTTGGGGAAATAGATTTGTCACATATTTCATATATTCAAAACTATTGCTATATATATAAAAGTTTTTGTTTCATATTAGCACCTGGACTCTTGATTTAATTCAGAATTAGAAGGAGCTAGGCTTGAACCTAGTTTGTAAATGAAAAAATTAGGTCACCTTGTGTCATTTATTGTCCTCTTTTGAAATGATTTCCGCAAACATTGACAGACAGATCTCACCTGTATACATTTAAAAGAAGTTTTATCTCCCACAACACTCCTAATTTAGATTCAAGGTATTTCTCTGCCATTTTAGATTGTTTTTCATTTTTTCTGTGGAAAGGAAGTATTAGGTCAGCTATAGAATTTATTTTTGCGGGAGTTGTTATAATTAAGTTATATCACATTAATTCAAACACACTTGAATTCCATAGAAGTTTGAACCCGCATTCATAAGTATAAGAGGCTGACACCTATATTCTAAACTGTCACTGTTTGGTAGTATTCTAACACCATTTAAGAAAAATTGTGTTGCAAAATGAAAACAAAAATAACTTAGTTCAATATTGACATATATACAAATGTACTGTACAAAGCAACATGTAAACACAACTTTCAAATCGTCCTGTCCTATTTGAATGTAATTAATGCTTAAGTCAGCATATATTTAACAGGTATCTTGAAGGTGTGTGTGTCACGAGGACATTACAGCTTCTGTACTGTTGGCTTGTTTTGCATAAAATATTACAATTCTACATCCTTTGTGTCTTCCTTTTCATTATTGTGACAGCCGAAATTAGTGTACGAATAATTCATGAAAGCATGAAGGAAATGACTGGTATTATGTCCTAGATAAGAGATGAATAGCGCAGCGTGTTACAGTATTTGATTGAGAATTCCGAATAAAAGCATTTCATCTGATATTGCCAAAAAACACCAAAAAAAACCCCAAAAACGGCCGGAAATTGATGTAAATTTTTGAAGATGACTTCCATGATTTCAAGTACTGTGTTATTCAACAGGTCCTTATAGGAGATAGGACTGTTTGCGCATTTACAATGACTGTGCTCATTTAGGATTTTGAAAATGGGAGAAAAGATTTGCATTTGCTGTCCATTTGACAGATTTGAGCATATTGTTTGCTTTTGATTAAATACATTTTAAGAGCGGCCTTTTGTTTGTTGGACTTTTTTGTGGAAATTTTTTTTGTTTCATTTAAAAAAAAAATTATATCTCTCGATATTTTGAATGTTTGACAAAAACTGCTTCTATTTCTTAACAAACCAACTCATTTGTCTTTTGTAAAAGTTTGCTTTGTAACACTTCTGTTATTCTTTGTTCTAACTGAATTATTTTTTTAGACATTTTCATGCTTGATTGTTGGTAATAAGCGGAACAAGTTCTAACTCATTCTTCCATTATTACAAATTCTTGTAGAGAGAGATTCTTTCACTCATTGATGCAACAAGGGATTGATTTGCAGGTTCAGCAATCTGCTCTGACAAAATTATTGCATTGTCATTTATATGCCGGCATTGCAGTAATTTTAAGTAACAGGCAGTAATGACTTGTCTGGTACCACTAGTAGATTCAGACTGACCTTCACCTCTGTGTTTACTGTTAAAGCTACTTATTTCAGTATTTTAAAGTAAAAACCCCTAAACCTTGCAATGGATTGGTCTAAATTCAAATGAGGACAAGTCCATTTATTCAAATTTAGTAGGGTTAGGGCGATACATTATGTATATTCTGTTTTTAAAATACGGTATCTCACAATCATAGACTCCTTTTGAAATGGGTTTTTTTTTCTCTCATACTTCAGATTTGTAAAGATACTGCAAAACAAATATTTGTGTCTATTTTACTGTTATGACAGAAATGCTCCTAAATTATAGTTCAGAATAATAAGGTTGACAGATTTGAAAAGGTAATTGATTTCTATCATATTTTTCGTGTTTGTTTGTATTGATTTGATAGCTAATGGCTTTTCTCATATTATATGCTGCACTGCACATGTCCTAGTCTTGAGTTACAGTGCATTTAACTGTCAGAGATAAAGTTACTGGGTGGAATCTACATTTACATCGAAGTTTCGAGACAATTGAGTTATAGTGCATTTGACTGTCAGAGATAAAGTTACGGGTAGGAATCTACATGTACATCGAAGTTTCGAGACAACGGTGGTATCATTATGGTTTAGTGGTATTATTTGACTAAGAACGGGTATGTTTGTCTCGCCACATCCTTTTCAGTACATTAGGATAAAGATGTTTGATAAGCTTTGACCTTTCGAAAGCTATTGTAGCTAGTGACTCAGCAGAAATATGTTTTGAAAAGTATAATTATTATAGTGACATAAATGCATAATGCACTAAGTCAATTGTAACTATTCTTCCTCCACCCTTGGGCAGTTATAACTATTGAATGGTATTGACATTGTATTTTTGCCAGCTCTATAATGCTCTATTGGCTAAAGTTAAGCCGGGGCACTGTGATGTAATGGACAGTCAGATTTGCAGTGACCCCCGGTAGTGTAGGGACAGACGTTCGTTATAGTTTCCAAAATGTTACTCATTGGCCATCTTTTGCTTCTG